ATAGAAAGGTGGGTGTGAAGAAGCTGTTTTCTAAATTACCAGCAGAAGGCTGGATCAGAGTTGATACCCCTGATTGGTGCCGGAATAACAGAACCCACCTTTCTCCGGTTGCCAGGCTGTGCCGTGACATCCCACGTTGTCCCTCCGTGCTTCCCTTTTATCGGCACTCTTCACACAGACGTTTTGTAATGACAAATGTTTCATTTTTCTTTATTTCATGTCTAAAGAAATACTAAAAATAAACAATAAATTATGACATTTGCTATCTTGTCTTTTTTTGTCACGCAGAAGGACCATTAAAGGCGTATTTCAGACATTCAGAAAATCTAGAAATAATTGCGTTTTAACTGGTTGTGGACAGCATTGTGAATGGCCTCAGTTCAGAAACACAGAACAGGTTTTTGGATGAATTTACAGAAATATTAAAAAAAAAACTGCCTGATTTGACACTCATGCAGCAGGTTTTACTGGTCAGAAAATGTCCGAAACATCCCTTTAAGGTAGGGCTGGGTGATATAGCCTAAAATCTGTATTGCGATATAATTTGAAAAATGTGCGGTAACGGTATATATTGCAATATATGACTTTCTTTTGTATATATGTCAGAAACGACTGTTTCTTAACATACTCACATACCAGATACATTGCAGCAGCAGAACAAACACACTTCTAACAGCATAAAATGCCATTTTAAGAAAATGTATTAATTTTCTTGCTTTACTTGCTCACAGACTTTCTCGTACAGTTTTGGCATCTCTGTTTGGCTGAAGCGTTTGCGGCTCGGTACCTCGTAACGTGGATCGAGTGTCTTAATCGTGTCCCGAAAGCCGCTTTTCTCCACTGTAAGAAACAGCACGGTGTTCTTACACGGGTACGTGGTAATGGCGTTTGTAATATCAATCCACCGTTGATTATTTCTCTTGTGGCAGTGTGAGTGTCCTGTCACAATGTCCCGATTGATCATGCGCCCTAGCTACTTGGCCAAGGGGATGTCCCTTTGGCTGACTGGTTAGAGCGTATGACTCTCTCCCGGGAGTCTGGGGATCGAATCCCGGCCGGGGCCGTCGTTTATCCACCTTGCCACACTCTCATACCGAGTGCCTTTAGCAAATGCTTGTAAAATATCCGTCTGCTGGTGTGTAAGGCCACCTTTTTTCTTACCGCTCGACTGACTGGGCGTTTGTTGAGGACGCAGTTTTTGGCTTTCTTCGTATTCCACAACGTGCTTCGTTTTGAGGTGGTAAAACTAATTAGATGTATTCCCTCTATTCACTAATACTTTCATACTTTGCAGATTATACCGTTCTGCTCCACATCCGACTCCTTAAAACCAAACCAAGTCCAAATGACCGATGTTGCACCGGTCTTCTTTACGATAACCTCCTCCTCCTCCACCACAGGCTCCATGATTTCAGCCTCAACAGATGCCGCTTGATGACGTCATCAACATGCGCTACCGCAATACGCCGACATAGCCGAAATCTCTGCCGTTGGCCAAATTAATATCATTTCTACTGTATACCGTGTATACCGCCCACCCCTACTTTAAGGTTCATAATTTCTTTGGGATTTAGTGCAAAGAACTTCATAAACACCGTTATAACTGTAGAAAATAAAGCCTAAGAGGTCCCTTTTAGAGAATCTCTGATGATGGGGGAGGTTGTGCAGGTGAGAGCAGCATTTCACAGTGACGGGGTGTGGATCTGGATCGGCGCTGTGTTCTGTCCATCATCGGTGTCACACGGGTTAAAGAACGGAAACAGAGAAACTGTAACAGTCCCCATTGAGAAAGTGTAAATTGGCGCCATGGTAACAGCATTGTAGAAAGTCACCTCCTCCTTCTCGCAGTCCAAGAACACACCAACGCGGACCAGGTGGACAGACACGTTGACTTTAGTCGGCTTTGGGTCTGTACAGGCCAAGAGAGACCCGCCCTTCAGCGCCAGCGTCCAGAGGCCACAGGAGGTGCCCGTGGTGGCCGTCTCACCTCTGTCAACATCTCCTCGTGCCACACCCAGCCTCCACGCTGTCTTACCACTAACATCCACCTCCCAGTAGTGCCGGCCAGTGCTAAAGCCCTGCTGACCCAACACACAGTAATAATAGTGGAACCGACGCAGGTTGGACTGGACGTCTGAAGCGTCTTTACCCTCATCAAACCAAATGGAAGTACGGGACAGTGACAGGGTCAGACTGGGGTGGGCCGTCTCCGGGTCAAATGTCACCGGTGTGATGTCTGCAGACAGAAATGTTTGTGAGTGACGCATCTCATTCACGGCGTTCTGGAATCAGACGCCAAACGTACTGGGATAGAGGGAGTCTCTCATGTGTTTCCATATCCTGTACTGGATGGGGCCCACAAGCTGGCCCGACCGCACCTCTGTGTTCACCTCTGCAGGAAGAACAAAGCTGACCTGAGACCTGTGTGTAAAAGAGGAGAGAAAAGGCCTGAATAGACACAGCAGAGATGACAAAAATGAATGAAAATGTAAAACAGAGGAAAACCAAAAACGACCTGCCTTTTTAACAGATCTTGGATTTCCTGAAACGAGAGAAAGATTCCAGTCACTGACTTGAACCGACGACTTCAGGCGCCTGTCATCACTACAAATCTTCTATTTGCTGAGAAATGCTCGTGGTGCTTTTTGCTCTTTTACTTTTTAATGAGAATTTGTTTTTTATGGGACAGGTCAACTGTTTAATCTGTGTAGGACAGCTGGCAGAATAAAGGCAGGTGTGCGGATTTCCTCTGCAGTTCCTAAGCCTAATCACGATGACAGAGAAAAGTGCCCTGCATGCTGATGATCGCCACATTGAAGCTTTGTGTGCAGATCAGCACTGAGACAAACTTCATCCCTCACTTGGAGCAGCTTGGGACCATCCTCCTCGGCCAGTTTGCCGTTCAGCACCGCGATTGCTCTCTCCAGGTCTTTTCCCTGAGCTGCTATCTTCTTCTCCCTCTCCTTCAGCTGTTTCAGTTGTTTCTGTCTCTCTTTCTGCAGCCTTTCCAGGTCCTTACACTCCTCCACGTTCAGGAAGCGATGGAGGTTTTGAAACTCAGCTCTGATTTCTCGTTCCAGGCCATCAAATCTGTTCTGAAAAACAGGAAGGATTGTTATTTAGTTTACCTGCAGACCTGGTTCTGGGCAGTTTTAAGACTGGACTGTTCAAGGACGTAATTTTCACTTTAGAAGTGGGGGGACACGGGGGGGGGGGGGATCTTTACAATATGTTCTAATGGGAAACCGGCTTCAACACAAACGGTTGCTTTCCGCTTGGTCCTAGAGCTCAACCAGTGTCAATTGAATATAGCGTAATATTGTTTTTGGATGGTAAAAAGTGCAGGGGTCAAAACTTGACTTTGGAAAAAGTGGGGGGGACATGTCCCCCCTGTCCCCCCCCAAAATTACGTCCATGGGACTGTTGTATTTCCTATTAAAACATGTTTAAGTTACAATAAAATCCATTTGTGGTCAAAGTTTTCTGCAACTTCCCTCCAAGAAATACATCAAGGACAGATTGATGTTCTGCTAAAGGTTCAGGGATTGGACTCTTGAGGACAGCTGGGGAAGTCGTTTTCTCTGATGAATCCTCTTTCTGATTGTTTGGGACATTCAGAATAAGGATTGCCTGGAGAAGAAAAGGTGAGTGCTCCCATTAGTCCTGCGTTCCTCCAACAGTAAAAGCATCCTAAGAGACTATTACTGTGTGGGGTTGCTTCTGGGCCAGGGGAATAGGCTCACTCACTGCTTAAAACAGCGATGTATAAAGAATGGTACCTAAACAAGCTCCAGGAGGAACTCCCACTATCATCCAGGAACATTCTGCTGATGAAAATACACTTTTCCAGCATGATGGAGCATAGTTATTAAAGGGAAAGTAGCTCAGGGAGCAAAACAGCTGCTTTCTGGGTCCTCGAAAAATTGACCAGAACTTAAAGGTGTGGAAAACTTGTTTAATAGATGCTTTTGCAGTGGTCTAGCAGGAATGAATGCCTTGTAAGTCATATTCGAGGGGCCAAAAAAAAAAACAAAAAAAAAAAACAATCCACATCATAGCTAGGTCAAAATTGTTGTTGTTGGAGGGGGGATTGCCTATCTCCAGCGGTCAACGGGCAATCAGGCAGGGTACACCCTGGACAGAGAGCCAGAACCCACACATGCACAGGGAGAACATCCATACTCCATGCAGAAAGATCCCAGGCCGGGAAGCGAACCCAGGACCTTCTTGCTGCAAGGCAACAGCTCTAACCACTGCGCCACTGCACAACCTGTGACAGGAACATCACACTTGCAACTTGAGAGTTGCCTGTCCGGTCCCTGCTGGTTGGGGAAGCTGTGGAGGGGAGCTGCAGTCTGTTTCCAGCACATTTCCTGCGTGTTTTAGATCATGAACGTTTGATTTAGTGATGAACTGCTTCTGTAGACACTAATGAAGGCAGAGGAAACATTTTTGCAATTAAACTGAGGTGTTAAAAAGTTTAACGCACAGAGAGAAATTTTATTTATTTATTTTTTTGTTTCACTGCGTAAGTAATAACACTAGGGGGCGCTAAAAGCAAGCAAAAATGCAAAGTGTGCCTTTAATGCTAAGGTTGTGACTGTAATTAGTGCAGTTTCTGTTAGGAATTGGATATCCTGTTTGACTAAATAAGGGGAAGTTAACTGAATGTTGCAAAGCAAAACAGGAAACACAAGACTTTTAATGCACAAACTGCTGATATGTTCTTACTTAAGACGATTTATGCCTTCAGAGAATTCACACCAAGATGAAACCATCAGAAAGACGCCTCTTTAACTCAATATATTGTAAAAATAGGTGTGGGAGACTACTTTGAATTTTTTTTTAAATCTGTTGCCCCATTGAACAAGCTTCAATGCTAAAAGGAGCATGAGTATAGCAAATGGCTTGTAATTGATATAGCGCCTTCTAGAGTCCTGGAACCCCCCAAGTCGCTTTACAACACAATCAGTCATTCACCCATTCACACACACATTCACACACTGATGGTGATGAGCTACGATGTGACCTCAGCTGCCCTGGGGCGCACTGACAGAGGCGAGGCTGCCGGGTGCGGGTGCCACCGGTCCCTCCGACCACCACCAGCAGGCAACGTGGGTTAAGTGTCTCGCCCAAGGACACAACGACAGCGACAGACTGAGTGGGGCTCGAACCTGCAACCTTCAGATTGCAGGGCGAGCACTTAACTCCTGTTCCACAGTCGCCCCACTATAATCAGATGAGAAATGAATAATAAAGTAAAAGTACCTCCACCTCCACCGAGTCTGTGTAAGTCTCTCTTTCTGCTTCTTTGCATTCATCCACCTCATGCTTGATTCTTTTAATAGCCTGGACAAGCTTTGCCTGTAACACACACACACACACACACACACACACACACACACACACACACACACACACACACACACACACACACAAAATGACACTAATTTACACTTCTCTACACGAAGCGGCAGGTGAAGTTCTGAAAGCTTACCTTATGATCACAGAGAAGGCTTTTACTGCTGCTGTTGTTGGTGTCTTTGCTGTGGTTCTGGTACATCCCAGTTATCTGCATATAAGTGAAAACACAAGCAAAAAGAGATCATTTCAAGAGGTTATGAGTAGAATCAGCAGGACAGTAAACACGGAGGACGCCTGAACAGATAAGCATGAGGAGGAGCAGGAGTTAAACTCATTCAGAAGCAGCACATACAAGCAGGAAGTGGTCAGAACAAAACGTATTGATGAGCTCTGAAGATCAGGAGCGACACTGAACTTGAGCTTATGTGGATCCATTAACAGAAGGGGAAGAAGGGGTGGGAAATGGCAGATGACTGGAGCTGCCAGGAGGGTTTGCTGGCTGACTGGATGCTTGGCAGCAGAGATGGAAGCAGAAACAGATGAATCTATTTTAGTCTGCCTGTGTCTTTGAAAACAACAAGAGAAGAGAGCCACAGTCAGTCAGATATTGTGTTTCATGTCAGCAGTTGCTTTGCCTGGAAGGGAGACAATCCATGTTTATTTTTGTGAGGTGGCTCTCTCTGATGTGTAGGAGGGGGGGCAGATTCAGAGCTGCAGCCAGGAGCTATTACTGTCCTTAGTTTGGGAGCTGCATGACAGGATGCTGTTTCACCATCAGAGTCTTGTTCATTCAGGATGGACGCTGCAGTACGACTTATCTCATCGTCAATCTGATGTCCTTTCCGTCCACTTATCTTTAAATATCTCCTCCCCGGCCCCATTAAGCCCACACACAGAGAGTCTGGCTGTAGGCTACAGGAATGTGCACTGAGGCAACGTCTCTGCAAATGTTCCTTATCAATAATTCATGCCACTGGGCTCAGACGAGGGACTGTAGAGCTAAGATTGAGCTGCAAACTTGGTGCAGTACAGCATGCGGCAGGTGGAGAGAGGACACCTACAGGGGGATTAGGTGAAACACAAAATCCTGCTGCATGAAGTCATTGAAGTATTTTTAATCCAGTCACTGAAAATCAATACTGTTAGAGAACAAAAAGGGTCTTAAAAATATCACCATATCATTTTCTGTCAATTACATCAAATATTTATCATCTGGATATTTAAAGAGAATTGGAAAAGCCACAAATCCTGTTATTTAAAATGATTTCCAGTGACAGTTTTCCTAGTTAACAGGAAAATATTAGAAGATTCGAGTTTTAAAACTACCATATAAATACTGTTTTTAATCTCAAACGTTAACTATTATTGCCGTTTATGATACTCATATACAACAGGTAATGAGTTAGCCTTACAGCTCTGGCCTTATGATTCATGCTATAATTTAATTAGAATACACTAATAAGTAATAAATCCCAGAAAGGCCTCGATTTACAGGAAAACTGTCCTTGAATTTGAGGTGAGCATGAACGAGTTTGACCTGCAGTAACACCTCCCGGCCTCTAGGGGCAGCCCGGCGCAACAAAAAGACGTCACAACTGTAAACAAGAGCATGTCGCAGAGACAAGCTAGAGGTAACACCTGTTTCCTAACGTTTACACCATTTTTAGATCAAACTAGAGCTCTTTTTGGTAGATTTTACGTCTTTAAATGTGTCGGTAGCATTCGACAGCATTGTGTGGATTCCGTATATATAGTAATTCAGCCTTTAAATGTGATATTTAAACAAGCATAGCTAGCAGAGCTCATGCAACTTGTTCATATTCTGCATTATACCCTTGAGTAACAATTACTAGACCGTTTGAAGACAGTTTATTTAAACATTTTTCATATTTGTGTTTTAGAAATGAATGGTCAAGCAGACGTGGAAGTCGACTACAAGCGGAAATACAAAAACCTCAAACGAAAGTTAAAATTCCTCGTCTATGTGAGCATTTTACATTTTTACATTTCGTCCTTAGATGACAGCGCGTAAATAAGATGATTAATAGTTGGATTTTTTCCCCCCAGGAGCAGGAGTGTTTTCAGGAGGAGCTGAGGAGAGCACAGAGGAAACTTCTGAAGGTTTCCAGGGACAAAAGGTGAGTTTGTTTCTGATCAGTTCGTGCTTAAAGAGCAAGTCACCCCTTACAAGAAGCGTACTTCACTCCCACTTCATGTTTGAAAAATGCAACAAATGCTGTTGCCAAGCAGACCGAGAGGGTGGAGCCACTAACAAATACATACACTCACGACATTGTGACATCATAATGTACCAGTTTACATCATAGCATACCTCTTAGCCAATAGCGGTGGCAGATTTAAATTCAAATGCAGTGCAGAGTTTTTACCTGACAACGGCACAACACTGACAGTTTCAGGCAGAAAATTTAAATTTTAACTAAAATGCACTAAAGTGCAAAACTATTGACTACACATGTCTGCAGCACGATTAGACACGCATTTATATAGTTTATCAGAAAAAAATAGTTGATTTGGGGGTGACTTACTCTTTAAAGTTTGAAACGAGTAACTAATGCGTTATTGTGTTTTCCAGCTTCCTTTTGGACAGGTTGCTTCAGTACGAGAGAGTAGACGAAGACTCGTCAGGTAGGTAAAACGTCCAGCCTGTATGATGAAGAAATCTGTTAAGTGTTTTTGTACATTGTTTTTACTGAACCACCAAACTTTTCCTTTGCATCATTTACATCAAGATTCCGATGCTACGGTTTCTTCAGAAAACAGTGAAGGAGAAGGAATCCTGGAGAGGGAGAGAGAACGTGAAGGAGCTAAAAAGTACGTTTTTCACTCAGTTTCAGTCCAGACCATGTACCTGAACCCAAACCATGTTAAATGAAAGCGCTGATTTAAATAATCTTGAGTTTTATTCCAGAAAGAGGTCTCAGTCTATTTCTGAGTGTATCACAATGGTAACAGTCTGAATAAATCCTGGTCATGGGAATATTTTCTGTAGGAAACCCAGAGTTTCTACCAGTCTTCTCTCACCTGAGAGAGCGTCGCTGGTCATGACATGATGATGTTGAACCAATCTGAGTGAAATGGAATTACTTTGTTAGGCTTCATTTCTGGAGAGGGGTTGCTGACATAGGTTGGCTATGATCTCACTTTCCCGTGACATATTCTATAAAATAGAATTTCTTTGAATTTTGTTTGATGTGAAAAGTAGAGGTCGACAATCATTGGTTTTTCTATTGCCGATACTGAAGCCCACAGGTAGAGGTCATGGCCAGTTGATGGCCGATTTGTGCTGCTTATATTTTGAGAATTTAACAAGCTGTTCAATCTTAATTTTGTGCACTGCACAGTGTTAAAATCAGACATCACATCAAAGTTAATCAAACAAATTAGTGAACTGACCGAGTATTAAATATTCAAAACTGGCAAAAAAAAAAAAAAGAAATTTTAGTTGAAAACAATTTTTGACCATTTATTAAGCTGTTTAAGATGTTATTCAGGAACGTAAAAACATATTAAATTAAATTCTGCAGCAGCACCGGGCTGCCCTGGGATATGCCTGACTGTAAACTCCTAGTAAAGACATTAAAGGGGCATTATGGAAGTTTGACAGTCAAAACATGTATAGAAATAACAAATTTCTTCTTCATACATTCTCCTGCAATGCCCTGGTCCTGTAGAATGAGCCCTGGCATTTTTACTGTGATTTCCTGTTTTTCTGTAAAATCACAGAAAAAGAGAGATGCTCGGGTCGAGCAGGCTGCTTCATGCGCGTTCACGCTCAGGCATAGCCCGTAGCATTTGCTATCCGTAGCTTTAGCAGCAGAGAGAGAGGTAGTGCCACTTTGTCGCTGTTCCTAACGCCTAGTGATGAACCTAGCTACATTTCTGAGGACCCTTAGCTACTTTCTGTAGAACTTTCTTCTAGGTATTTCCTGCAAATTAGCAACAAAATAGCCGTTTTCACTCAGAACCGTTCTTTGAACGTTGTTTCAACTGTCATCAAGGATGTAAATGTTACAGATACGAGGGACGGCACTGGTGCTTTAGCTCACCTAGTAAGATGTCAGACTCTCGTGCAGAAGTCCTGGGTTCAATTCTGGGTGTGACCGTAGTTCATTTAGAGTTTTTTTTTTACATTAATGGTATATTTTTTTACAGTAAGATGCCCAAAATTTAATTAGAGACTCACAGAACGGCATTGAATTCACAGATAAAAAAGATGTGGATTCAACTTTCATTTTGGAACAATTTTTCAAGCAAGGGAAGGGAATGATCTGAGCATGCAGGAGGACTGACCCATCATAAACCTTTGTTGGCTGTGCTGAAGAGAAAGGTACAGAACCAAATTATTTAATTAATTAGCTGCGCGTTCTCCTGTCCTCTGTCCTCCGGGCCACACACACACACACACAAGGGACTGTCTCAGCTGTTATTTTCGTTAAGGAGTGTGCACGTACAGCATGCGCGCCTCGTGCACGAGCCTACTATTGAAGCTGCCGTTACGCTTTTGGCCTGAGGGGGCAATCACGAGCATAAAAATTCAAAACTCCGTAAAGTTTCTTTAAAATGAACTAAAATCCATCATTGTGGTGACAAACGCTTGTTTTCCACACCCGGAGCTTACAGACGGGCCAGATGTCTGTTGAAAATTCTTTCTGCTACTTAACCATGACGTAAAATTCAGTCTAATATAAATACGGTCTGTGTTTGAGCTTTGCAAACAAAATGTTGAGAGATTACAAGTACAAAAGCAAGAACCTCTTAAACATTAAGAACAAGTCCCGACACGCAGTTTTACAATAAAACTCTTTAATAATTATAACTGCTCATTTCTGACTTTTGACAAACCTAAAATCTGATTTTATTACCAGATTAGGACTAAAAAAACCTGCTTTCAGTCACAGAAAGACTTGGAGATATTTTTTAAGATCCAACTTCACTCGAAGTTCATCTTAAACTTGTCAGATTGAGCTTTTCCGACTTCCTTATTTCTGTGCAGAAGAAAAAGTCCCAGTGCGTGCCTCTCTTCAGCATCATCGACTCATGTCTCCATGCTGTCCCGCTCTGCAGTGAATCCTGGACCTTACCTCAGCACTGTGAGTTCTCCATCTCTCCTTCTGAGATCTACTGCCAAAATGCTGCCATCGTCACCTTCTCACCAGCAAACATAATCCCTGTATTCATTCAGCACTATTCAGTTGTTTCACTCGTTTGTTTTTGTTTTCATTTTAAGTTGAGATCCAGAACTGGCTTCGTTCTCTGTTCATCGGTCATTCTTTTGTGTTTGTTTTTGTGTTTTCTGTATGTGCGTGTCTCGTAAACTCCTTTCAACCGCGTGCATGCGTGTCCATGTGCTCTTTTGGACATTCGGGGGTCTACATGTGTGTTGGGCAGATGCCCTTCCCGCCAGAGTATTTGGCACCAGCAGCCGAGCGAATGAAGAAAGAGAGAAAAACAAAGACGCCAAAAACCAAGAAAGAGACCACAGGGAAGGTGAGGGGGAGAATAACTCCAGACGGTGATGATTAGATAGATCTGGTAACATTATATTCATAACTCATTAGCTGAGCAGGTGAGAACATTGCTTATTGAAGAAGTAGTTTGTAAGTTAATTTCCACATCCACGACGTTACCATCCAGCTGCCCTCATTTTCCCTTCGTGTTCCTGTTGCTGTTCCCTCTTTAGCATTTATTCTGATGTTCATCCATCTCTTTAGGTTGTGGCTCCGGTCGCAGCGAACTACCCATCAGCCCCTGCGGCTCCCGCTGCAGCCAGCGGCCCCTTCAGCTGGGTTCCTCGCCAGATGCTCAGCGGAGACACAGCTGAGGAGGAAGGTGAGAGCGACGGAGACAGCGACAGAGGGGACGAAGACAGGGGGGAGGGAGACGAGGCCGAACTCGTCATTGACATCCCTAATGAGTGAGCAGGGGCTATTAGGAGGTATTTAAAGGCATGGTGGGGGTAAAAGACTGGACTTGGTCGCTTTTGTCCCTGGGAGCAAAGCTCCCCCTGGTGGATTCAGGCATTATTGCAGCGATAGTGTCTAAATGGTGAAATAATATTCAGAGAAGCGTCGTTAACTCTGACAGAAGTAATGTTTTTAAACTGTCGTGACCATTTAGTTTTGTTGATTTACTGGTAAGTTCTCTACTGGTCCTTACTGGTGATAAACCTGCACCATCCAACCAACTCTCCAACATGAATGCGTTAACAGAGTTACAATTCAAAGGTAATGATCTGTTTTCTTGTTGCAGTTTAGACATATTTCATTTGTATTTGGATGTAAAATAGTATTTTTTTTTGTCTCAGTGATGGATTCAGTATGTTTTTGCACTAAATGTACACATGTCTAATGTTTTTCTGCTTACTAAAGGGTTTTGTTTGATCCTAAATGTTGTCATGTTTGATTTGTAAACGGCACAAATGCAATTTTATGTCAGAGAAGCTGTCTCACAAAAAAATGTGTCACACCCAAAACCTCACACCCTAAAACTCATTCCTGAGTTCCACTCCCGCAGCTGGTTGTGTCACCACCTAAAGCGTGCGCACACTTTACCTGCAGATTGTTGAATGTATAAAATCTTTTTTTTTTCTATTGCAAAAAAAAAAACACAAAAGTTTGAACTTTTGAGCAACAGTCCTGCAGAGTTCTGCTCGTTCCCAAAGTCAGGATCAGTGTTTGAAATATTTACTGCGTGATGATTTTGTAAAGATCAGTCGACTCCATTCGTGTCTCAACAGGCGGCCTTTTCATATATTTAGGAAAGGGAGTTCCAGTCTGCCAGCCGTGGATGTGCCGGAGAAGTCGCCGCTCTCTTCAGACGGTGATCCGTGACTCAGACACTTGTCAGGGTTCGACTTTAACGAGGATTTCACAAACAGGTCGTGTTAATTTTAGAGCTCTGGATTTTTAAAGTCAGACCAGGTTTGGAAACGTTTCAACCGTCTTGGTGCAGAGTTCGGATTCACTGACGTGGACTACAAACAGATTAGTTTAAGAGTTTTGCCCATCAGCAGAGTAAAAACAATTGCTCGGGAATGAAGAATTACAGGTAATGAGTAGGTGTGAACCTACTAGCTTGTGTACATAACAGCAGTGGGAGTTAAAGGTGTAACCACAGAGGGTGAGGGAGGGGTGAGATGGAGAAAAACCAGGGGGTGGAACTGTCAGGGGGGGGGGAGGCTGTGAGGGAAAGGGGAAATGAAGGAGTAAGAAAGAGTGAAAACACTGATTCAGGCTCTGCTCAGATGAAAAGAAAGCAGGCATGGTTGCAGCTAAACGGGAGGACGGAACAAGGAGTGGGTGAGGGAAAACGCTGTATCCCTCATCTGCACACGGAAACCACTGGATCATTTATAAGCCTCTCAGTGAGTGTGTTTGTGAGGAGGAGGGAGCACTGCTGAGCTCACCACCATGCTGGGTCCTGCTGCTGTCAGTGCAGCTGTCTGGCTGCTGGCTGCGTTAGGCCCGGGCCTGTCTCAGCCAGATGAGCACAGCCCCAGCCAGGGCTTCAGCCTCTGCAGAGACTGCTTCTACCGACAGACGCCTCCTCGGGGAGGCCCTGCGGGGCTGCAGCTGCGCCCGCGATGCCACAGGCTGCCCGGGGGACAGGCGTTTGCCACCGTGTCCACGCCGACCTGTGACACGGCTGTCTACACCGCCTTTCGTCTCAGCCGCGGATGGACAGGGATGGGGGAGGAGATAGTGGTGAGGACACATTTGTTACACACTTTGAAACATTTAAAGGAAAAATGTTGGTAGAATAAAAATATAAATTGAACTTGTAGGCTGCAAGATGCTTTAAAGTGATATTAGGATGGAGCATCAGCGTTGAGTCGGGCCTTTAAAATCTAACACCCTCAGAGATACAACTCTGCAAAGTTTCACAAAGAAGCAAAACCTCAGATCTACAAGCTTTAGCTTGTTTATTTTTAATGATTTTTTTCTTTTTTTGGCTGAAAATCTTTGCAATAAATGAGCACACAAAATTAAATATTCATAAAAATAGTTTTACTCCTCAAAAATTAGCATTTTCAGGGCCACTAATATGCAAAAGCGTAGATTTTATATAGAATAGATGTAAACATACAAATTAAGATAAATTGTTGAATACATATTGTTTGACTTATCCTAATGTGAATATTACAATAGCATTTATACTGACGCTGGTGCCAGTAAATAGAGATATTCGTGTGGCCCAAAACCCACAAATGATTTTTACAAACTAAAATTTCATCAGACTTTTAGGAGTCAACATTTTTATTTAAAACATATTTATCTCATAGTTTAAACATAGAATTCGATCATTTTCAGGGGTGGGAATATAAAGCTTTAAAATAATTACAGCTTGAGCCCAAGCATCCCTAATTGGGGGGAAAAATGAGCATTTACACATCCAAACAAATCCCACAGTGGTTACCTTTATAATGAGACCAAAGTAGTCAAATAGACCTTGTGGTTACAGAAGTATCCCAATTAAAGTGTGAGGATGTCATCTGTACCTCACTAACATTATTTTTAATAAAATAGATTTGCTTGGGTGCAAATTGTTTAGAATGATTGAAATGTGATTAATCAAGATTAATTGATTCCAAAGCCTCTGGTTAATTAGATTAAAATTTAATTGATTCCCACTCCTAAAAATGTATCTTAAAAACTGAAATTTTTCTGTTTATTTGAGGGCCAGTCATCTTACTGGTCCAGCAGCAACACAGCTAACTTTTCTAGAGTTGCTAAACTAGATTTTATTCATGAATTTTGCAGATTTGTTGTAATCTGATGAAGCAACAGAATCAATTCAATTCAATTTTATTTATAAAGCGCCAAATCGCGACAAGAGTCATCTCGAGGCACTTCACATAATAAACATTCCAATTCAGGTCAGTTCATTAAGCCGATCAGAAAAAATGTTTCCTATATAAGGAACCCAGAAAATTGCATCAAGTCACTGAATAGTGTCAGTGACTTTACAGCAATCCTCATACTAAGCAAGCATAAAGCGACAGTGGAGAGGAAAACTCCCTTTTAACAGGAAGAAACCTCCAGAAGATCCTGGCTCAGTATAAGCAGCCATCCTCCACGACTCACTGGGGATCGAGAAGACACACGCACGCACGCACGCACGCACGCACACACACACACACACACACACACACACACACACACCAAGCAATGTGCCTATGGTTACATTGTGATTGCTTAGTAAATATTCTATTTGGTGAGAGATAAACTTTATTGTATTTATCCTAGTGAATATATGATTAAACTGGTAAACTAGTAGTGGCACATCCAACGTCAAGGAAAGCAAAAAGTTATTATCAGGAGAGGGAGAATGTTTAAGTGGTTAGCAGCAGTGTGCTAGACGATGGCCCCCTCCATGAGGCCACCACAGCTCAGCAGAACATTATTGTAGCTTCTTCTGGGGAGAAAAACACTTAGAGAAAAAAATAAAGTTAATAGCTAAAATAGCAGGAAATAATACAGTTAAAGAGCAGATTGTAGAAGAAAGTAGTCGAGTGTGGAAAACGGTCAGTATGTCCTCCAGCAGTCTGAGCCTATAGCAGCATAACTACAGAGATAACTCTGGATAACCTAGCCTTTAAGATGGAGGCATGTTGGAGTCAGGGCAAGGGAGAGCCGTCTTTACCGACTGTACACTCCACCTCCCTCTACTCCCCCACTTGTCCAGATCTAGGCTAACATCAGATTTTAACCATAGGCCCTATCAAATAAAAATATTTTAAGCCTATTCTTAAAAGTAGACAAGGTGTCTGCCTCACGGACTACGGCTGGGAGCTGGTTCCACAGGAGAGGAGCCTGATAACTAAAAGATCTGCCTCCCATCCTAATTTTAGATATTCAATCAAAGAAACGTTTAGCCTTCAGTTAGTTTATAGCCATTTCTCTTTTTGTTGTTAGTGTTGAGTTAATAGTTTATTAAAGGATGTAAAAGCATCTGTAATCTTTCATGGTGTAGTGGTATCTAATCCCAAGAATTACAAATCATATTTGAAATGGTTTTAACTCCAGGAGCATGTGCATGAAACTTTTCTGTCTTTGACCGTTTTTCTGTCAGACGGAGGAAGAAGTCGACGGCATCAAAATCCCGGCTCTTCTCAGAGGAGCTGGAGCTCCGTCTCATCCTGTCTCCCCCACAGACACCCTTCTGCAGCACTGGGATTCAACAGTGGCAGCACTTGTCCAGTCGAGCGTCTTACCCCAGTGCAACACTTTGAGGGGTGACATCTACATCCTGATAGGAGCGGGGCGACTTGGAGCAGCTGAGCGTGGAGGTGAGGAGTGTCGGGCGAAGCTGCTGTGGTCTGCAGTGTGCTGTTCTCCTCCAGAGGGGAAAGCTGCCTTTAGTTTAGGGTTAATCAAAGAGACAACAGAGAAGGAGAGGCCAGCGAGCATGAAGGAGCTGGAGGAGGTGCTGGGAGGAGCTGAGCTGTTCTCCGAACGCTGTGGAGGAGAAGAACAGGCGACAGCTGCAGTCAGCGCGGGGCTTCAGAGTAGAGGAGATGAGGTAAAGGCTGAAAAAACAGATGCTAGAGACGTGAATTCAGGAAATGGCAAAGATGAAGTTGTGAAGAAGAGCAGAGATGCACTAGCAACATCTGATCAGGTGGCAGGTGTTGATGCTCCTCCAGAGGAACTTTCTGCAGATCCAGATCAACAGCAGGAGGACCAGGAAACCACCAGTGAAGAAGACACAGACTCAAACACCACAAGCACGCTGGTCTACATCCTGTCCACCGCTATGTCCATTGTCCAAGCTCCTCTGCGGCCTGTGTTCTCCACCCTCACACAGTTACCTGAGCAGGTAAAACATCCTAGTGAAGCATTAATGCCTGATGTTTGTTTCTGCAGACTCACTCTACCAACGGTTTCAAAACAAGGCCAAAGCTGGATTTTATTCTCTTGCTACTTCACATAAATAGAAAACTTTCAAATATTATGAAGTTGAATTAATTAATTGATTAATTAAGTAATTAATTAATTAAAAATCCATTAGAATAATTGATGAGTTTAACAATAATTCCTTATTTATATCGTGTTTATCAACAGTATTTGTGTCTTTTTTTTTCATTTAAATAGTAGAGAAAAGGCTTTTTCTAACAATTCATAAAAATAAATGCTTGTTTAATCTTGTTAAAGAACACTTTGACAGCGAGGCGGTTTTCAAATGAGGATTTATTGTATCAAGAAAAAAGCTATCCAAACCAACATGTCTCCGTGTGGAAAAAAGTAATTCAATTACTTAACTGGTTATGTTACTCTTGGTGCCAACAGCTGCATTTGTAATAACTGGTAATGAGTCTTTCACATTAATGTGGGGGAATTTTGTCCCACCTTTCCTTAGAGAATTGTATTAACTCCGCCTCATTGTAGGGTTTTTTCAAAATAAATGGTCTGTTTAAAGTCAAAGTTCAGACATTTTCTATCATGATTTCCTGATGGAGAGGAGAATTCGCGGTTCCATCAATAACAGCAAGTGGTCCAGGTCCTGAAGCAGCAAAGTAGCCCCAGACCATCACACTACCACCACCGTGTTTGACCCTTAGTGTGATGTTCTGACATCTGAAATGAGGTTTGAGTCTTACCTTTCCAAATAATGCACTTTAGTTCCACCAGTCCACTGAATATTTTCCTACAAATCTTGGGAATCATCAACATATTTATAAATGTGAGACGAGTCTTTGCTTTCATCTGGTCAGCAGAGATTTTTATCATGGACCTCTCCCATGGATCCATTTGCACCTTTCTTTCTTGTTGAATCATGACCTCCGACCTTAACCTGAGGTAACACAGGCCTTTTAGGCTTTTAGTGTTGTTCCGGTTTCTTTGGTCATGGAATTTCTTCAGATCTCGTCATGATGTGTTGCTTTTTGATGTTTTTATTGTAGCTTACTTCATGTTGTCAGACAGGTTTTAAAGAAGTGACCTCTTAAAGCAACACTAAATAGGTTTTTACACTTCAAACTGGTTCTTGAGCGATAGTGGACCAGAATCTGCACTAAATAGTTTTGGTGGTTCAGATAGGAACACTGGGCGCTCTCTACCTGCTTTACGGCAATAGTGCCGTTTACTGCGCCGGTCGCTAATCTAAAAGCTACCAGTTAGCTTTTTCAGTTTTCCGACTGTCAATAAGAAAAAGAAGTTTGCGTTTTTTGTTGTCATCATGGCAGAGCCTGGAAGTAAAAGGAAGATAGCAATGTCTTTGGAGAAGAAGAAACAGCTAAAACCAGAGTGAACATCGGCGTGGCTAACACTCCGTTTTAGTTTCAAACCATCTACAAAAATAACAAGCAAAGTCCTGTTTTTTCTTTCTGCTCTAACAAGAATCTTACATTCGTAAAATCGTGTGAAATACAAAAACTTGTCGGACAACGTCGTGATCGGGAAAGCCAGTGTGAGCAACAGCAGGTTTGTTTAAGATACTTCTACGTTCAACCAGTAGGGGGTGAAGCGGGAAATTTATTAGGTGTTAATTAAAGAGCAAGTCACCCCCAAATCGACTTTTTTTTTTCTGATAAGCTACGTATATAAATGCGTGTCTAATCGTGCTGCAGACACGTGCACTTTAGTGCATTTTAGTTCAAATTTTCTGCCTAAAACTGTCAGTGTTGTGACGTTGTCAGGTAAAAACTCTGCGCAGCATTTGAATTTAAATCTGCCATCGCTATTGGCTAAGAGGTACCCTAGAATGTTAGCTGGTACAATATGATGTCACAATGCCATTGTGTGCCTGTGTGTATTTGTTAGCGGCTCCGCCCTCTCGGTCTGCTAGGCAACAGCATTTGTTGCATTTTTCAAACAGGAAGTGGGAGTGGAGTAAGAATCTGGTAGGGGGTGACTTGCTCTTTAACTAGTCTGGCAGTAACCAGGCCTGGGTGTGGCGGGTGACACTAAACTGATGTGGTTCATCACAGTTAATCCATGATTAACGCGGAAGACTTCCATACAAGTTGGTTTGGATAGCTTTTTTCTTGAAATGAATGCCCTGATCATTTGAAAATGTTGTTTTTATTCAGATTATCTTTGTTAAACATTGTGATAAATAAAATAACTTTATTTTCATCAACTCTTTGACACCATCCTCTTCACTCAGGTGGTCTACGTTCTTCAGGAGGATCTTGCTGTTCTCTCTGCTCTGCCGGGAGACACCTTCACCGTCTTCCAGCTTCTCTCCTCTGACCTTCTGTCCTGGATGAGCTCAGCCACAGAAATGCTGTATGGTATCGGAGAAACCTGCTTCTCCGGTGCTTACCACTGCACCTCCTCGATGGGAGAGGCCCTGCTGAGCAGCTGCTATGCTGGAGTCACGGGGGTGGGCGCTCTGGCTGGAGACACAGTGGGAATATTTGGTGACTTGTTGGATAATGCCTGGTCTGTGACCAGGTTCTTTGGAGGACGTTTATGGGAGCAGACTGAGGGTTATGTGGGAACAGTGGTGTCAGAGCTGGGGGGTCAGGTTCAAACTGTAGGTGGGGGGTTTGGGAAGCTGGCCTGGAAAAGTGGAAAGGGAGCGGGTAATGTGTTAAAGTTAGGAGGGGTTTAATCAAGCGGGTGGCAGATTCGTTTGTCGGTACAGTGAGAGAGGCCTTTGGCCAGCAGTCAGAATGAAGGGAGGAAAAGACCCCACAAATACATTTTTGTTTATTTTTGGTTTGTTGAATTCTTTAGGTTTTTGGAATGGTGAAGATTTCTGAACATGATGTCATTAGAAGGATTTCCCGATGTTTTTTTTAGAGGAAAATGGGTACCACTTCACCATGAGGCTCCCGTTATAAATGTCTTATAGTGTATAGATATGTTATAGTTGTGTTAGCAGTAGCTCAGGAGGTAGAGTGGCCCGTCCAGTAACCGGAGGGTTTCAGGATCGATTGCAGCTCCCAGCAGGGAATTCTGCTGTTGTGTCCTTGGGCAAAACACTTAATCCACCTTGCCTGCTGGTGGTGGTCGGAGGGACGGTGGCGCCAGTGCTCGCCTCTGTCAGTGTGCCCCAGGGCAGCTGTGGCTACAGTGTAGCTCATCACCATCAGCGTGTGAATGGGTGAATGATTGTAGAGCAGGAGTATTTAATTTCAGCATGTTTTAGTGGTTTCTCTGCTCCAACACACTAGATTCAGTGGTTGAGTCACTTGTGCAGCAGCTCATCAGGCTCTGCAGACAACAGAACAGGGCTAAAACTAAAACCTGCTGGGTACCGGCCCTCCAGGACCAGAATTGAACATCCCTGCTGTAAAGCGCTTTGGAGTCCTCTGACTCTGACCGGCGCTATAGGAGTGCGGCTCATTTATCCGTTATCATTTAATTAATCTGTAAACATCTTTTTAAGTATGTGTCATTGTAAATAATATTGTTACACATTAAGACAAACGAAACAGACCAGTTTCTTGCAGAATTGTGAGCTGGTTTTTTGTGGTGAAAAAGTGAAATATTATATAAAACATGTGTTTACAAATGCTCAATGTGCTTAAAATTTACTTAATCACATGTTTTATATAACAAGTCTAGATGAAATGTATGGGAGAGAACAGTTTTGTTTCACTATTGGGCAAGAAACCAAGTAATTTTCTCTCATCTCACTGTTATTAATTCTTGATAGTTTGCTTTTACATATTATTAATAACATATCTTTAAACTGTTATTCAGGCAGTTACAAGGGGAGCCTTATTGTAAAGTGGTGCCCAAAAATGTGATGAATGTCAAATGTCATACAATGTAGATCTAAACAGTTCACTGTAAAAAAAAAAAAAAAAAAAAAAAGCTGCTCTGATTATCTGACAGCTCTGGATTAAAAAAAAACACTGCACTCATTTTGTTTGGATGGGAACACTCAGCTCAACTTGTGTGTTGCTATGGCATCTGTGCATTTAAATAAAAGATGCTGGTTGATGATTGCGCTGAGTATTATTTGGTTCTTTGTTTCAGTGTATTTTGAAAGTGATGCTGAAGTAATAGCATGACTACAGTTGTATTTGCAGTTCAGTGAAATTGAGTTTATTATAGAAGAATAAAGCTACCTCAGGGCAAAGGCGCAAACAGGTTTAATTTAGCCAGAGAGCCAGATCCAACTATACTCAAACGTTTGGAGTCACTTGGGAATGTTCCTGTTTTCTATGGAATCTGTCTGAAAAGGAAATATACTCGTAAAAAGGGCATGTGGACATAGTCAGAGTTAGGATTTTAATGTGAATTTTTAGTGAAACTACTCACATAAAAACACCTCATTCTGTAGAAATTAGATATTGGCAGACTTTAGGGATTCAGTCACTTATTCAGATACGCTGTGCTTGGTTTAGTATCTGAAGCATGTTCATTTCCTAGATTTTCTATTCAGATGTAATTCATGTCTGTTTCCATTGAAAACAACATTTTCAAGAGATGTACCAAAATAAGCAATGATTTTCTCTTACATTTTAATTTAATCATTACAATAAATTACATATAGTGCAATCCGATTCGTTTATTTTGAATTAGTAAAAGTTGTCCAGCTAAGAAAATATTTAATTAAATTCAATATCAGATTTAATAATACTCTTCTTATTATTGTTATGGTTATTGTTAACATGATAAGAATGATTTAAACCTCTAAGGAAACCATTAATCCAAAACAATATTCATTTTACTTTAATACCATCAGAAATGACTTTATTTTAAAAACAAAATCCTTGATAAAATAAAATAAAAACACTGTTTCTTTAATGAAAACTCAGAAGCGGAAGAAGCCGCGCGTCAGACCCGGAAGTCGCAGCTTCGTTGCATCAGACAGCGCATGTGCAGAACGTCTGAGGGCTCGTGGATCTGTGTCTATGCTAACAGCTGAGCCCACGCTTCATTCAAAGGTATGTGTTCTTTAAAGTCACGTATTTTCTGAATGGTTACGTCACATAGAGTTTAAAGCGGAAACGCAGGTAAAACTTTAAATGAAAACACAACATTAGTTTTGTTAGCTGAACTAGCTAAAGCCGGCTAGCCGGGTCCACTTCTGCTCAGCTGGTGTAGATCAGCCTCACAAGCTAAGATTAATATCTCCTCTTACGGCACTTGACTTGTGTTTTAATGTGTTCACAGAATACATAGAAATGAACTTAATATAGAGAGTGCTTTTCTTCAATAAATGTGGGTTTTTTATGTTTTTCTCAAAACACCAACTGAACTTTCGCATTCACCTGCCTTGTATATATTTGGCTACCCTTAAACCAGCTTACTGGGCGTACATCATGTTTTCTGCAGACATGGCCACTCTCTACGTGTCCCCTCACCCTGATGACTTCAGGAGTCTCCTGGCTCTCATCGCTGCAGAGTTTTGTCCGTCCTCTCGCCCACAGATCACCACAGAGGACCCACCTGCATCCCTGAGCCTTCGCTCCAGACCAGCCTTGGTGCTGGCTCCTGGGCAGGGTGACTCAGTCCTGAGTGGGTCCGCTGCTGTGGCTTGGTACTTGTCTTTTCAGGGGAAGAAAGCAGGTTTGGATCCAAAGCAGCAGAGCCAAGTGTGGCAGTGGCTCAGCTTTGCAGACAATGAGCTCACCCCTGTGTCTTGTGCGGTGGTCTTCCCTCTGATGGGAGTCATGGGAGTGGATAAAAAGGTGTCCTGAAGCTTTTAATCGATCTATTTCAGTAAATATTTTTTCCCCTGAATGTTGTGCTCTTTTAGGTCCAACAGAGCTCCAGAGCAGAACTCATGAGAGTTCTGAAAGTTCTAGATCAGGCTTTGGCACCAAGAACTTTCTTAGTGGGAGAAAGCATCACCCTGGCTGACATGGCTGTAGCTACAGCTGTTCTGCTGCCCTTCAGATATGTACGTATGCCACGCAGCGCAAAGGGTCTCGCATGCTGGCTGTATAAGTGTCCTCATTTTTCTTTTAATACTTTATTTTTCAGGCATTGGAGCCTTCGGACAGAAAAACGGTGACCAATGTTACCAGATGGTTTACGACCTGCGTGAATCAGCCCCAGTTCCTGAAGGTGCTGGGGGGGATCACACTCTGTGAGAAGGTGGGACCAGTCGCACTCAAAGCAAACGCTGCTGGAAACTCAAAAGCTGCAAATGCCGGTCCAGCTGTGGACAGCACCGCAGCCAACGGTAAACAAACCTTATGGTTATAGTCAGAAACATAAATGTAATATTTCTAATAATAAACCTAAATCTGGGTCTGAACATTCCTGCAGGCCCGCCGAAGACTGAAGCGCAGCTGAAAAAGGAAGCAAAGAAGAAAGAAAAGCTGGAAAAGTTCCAACAGAAGAAGGAAATGGAGGCAAAGAAAAAGACACAACCTCCAGCAGAGGTAAAGACACGAACTTCTACAAAACCTGTGAGAGATTTGTGTGATTTTTATTTTTGAGGGACACAAAAAATGCAGCTTTTCTGTCTGGTCTGCACTTTTCCCCCAGAAAAAAACCAAACCTGAGAAGAAGGAGCTCGGAGTGTTTACCTACAACATTCTCACCCCTGCTGGAGATAAAAAAGGTGAATCCTGCATCTGGATTAGTAAGAATTAAAAACTTTCCACAGCAGTTCGTTACCACCCTTCTGCTGCTGTTTATCTTCTGAATCAAGCCTGAGCTTTCCTTTTACCTTCCGACAGACCTGTCTGTATCTCACGGGCCTGCAACTATTGCGTATGTAATGATTTAAATTACATGTTATTTAATAAGCCATAAGACGTAGGATTCCATAGGAAATATGAAATCAACCTTATGGATCTGTGAGGTTATTTTAAACCAGAAGATCGGATCTTTTTATTGCAGGGATTAGATAACCGCTTCGTATTCACTCAGACAACAGAAGAGAGTCTAGTTTAAAAGTTAAGAAGTTTATTACTAACAAGTTAAACTAGACTAACTTTAAAACTAAATGTATGGTGTAACTAAGGTGGATGAGACGGTGAATGGGATGACGTGATGTTGATCAGAACCAGCAAATCCGAAGAAGCGATTAGTTCTGATGGGAACTGAAGGTGATGTCTTTGCGTTAAGCTTTGGTTAGGAGATTCATAAACACATTCAACGCCATTTGCCGGCCTACATACCCTGAGCGGAAGTCCCCGTCTAGATCAGGAGGTGTAAAGGTCCAGCTTGACCTTTATGGAACGGAGCTGGTAGGAAAAGCAGCGGTTCCGATCAGTCCAGTCTGTGAGATACTTCCGGGTCGCAACAATTTGTTAGCGTCTGGTGAGACCCGAGCCTGGGTCGGCCAGCAGTTGGAACCGCAATGCATTTTCCAGCTTGTCGTTGGTTCTTTTGGTTGAAGAGGAAAGTTACGGATTGGCCACTCCGACAGTTTCTCTGGAACGCTTTGAACTGGCGTTAGAGATGACGTGGGCATAGTTTTATACTTCGGATGTTTTGGTTTATGGTCGAATGAAAAGTTGACAGAGTTACCAAGCACCATCAGAACCACGCCTCCATCAGATTCTGATTGGATCAGTGAAAGTAATGTGTCATGTCTTTTAACGCTACGTGAAAACGGTCCTGTTGGAACATTTAAAGTCACAGTACCTTTATTTTCTATAGGATAATAATAAAGTAATATTTTAATTTCACAGATCGGTCACATCTTATTTATTGACTAACACTTTGTTTGATTAACTTATTAAAATAGAGTTCTTTGATTAATTAAAAGAAAAGAGTTCATTCTTCATTCTTCTGTAGAGCTGAAAATAAGCAGGTCAGAAGGAATGCATGAGACCTTGAGACCATCTCTCATGCAGACTAGTCCTGTGTCAGAGGAGGGGGAAAACAGTCATTTCATTCTGTTACACGTACGACGCTTGAATGTGGGGCACAAGAGTTAATCCCAAACTGCAACAGAATTGCACTTTCTTGTTGCATTTCTCTTAATATGTCACCATTTGTCTAAGATTCAAAGCAGCTGAACAATCGGGCCAGTGGCCATTTTTTATACAACTCATTGATCTAGAGTCGGGCACACCTGCGGGCCGCCTGGTGCTGTTGCTAAACTTTATTTACATATATATCTACGTTATTGTCAACTGAGATTTCTTTATATTCACCTGTTTTGTATTTTTCAATCTTTGTCAGTTTGTTGATTTGAAAGAATTGAATTAAATGTTTGATTTAAACACGGACTAGTGCACAACCTTAAGGTTCAAGAGTCTGCTAAATTCAGACTCAGGTATGTCATGCATCATTTGTTGCTGTTAGGGAAGTTTAAGGATGCAAATAAGGAGGAAAATGTCTGAACATTGGCCCAAAAAAATGGGCCAGGACCTCCATATTACTACGTCGGTATCTGCGATAGGACAGCCCATATCGGTGGAGCTCTAATTCGAGTGTTTTAGTGGTTTTATCTTTCATTAACTGTATCGTTTTTGCCCTCTAGGATTTGCAGCACTGATGGTGTTTATCTGCTCTGATTTCAGATGTCGTCAGTCCACTTCCTGACTCTTACAGTCCTCAGTATGTGGAGGCGGCGTGGTACACGTGGTGGGAGAAGCAGGGATTTTTCAAGCCCGAGTATGGTGTAAGAGAATCCGTCCCTGCCACCGATTTCACGGATACCCTCAGCCTTCCTTAACTTGTTTATGTCGACTGTAGAGGAAGAGTATCGGAGAGCAAAACCCTCGTGGCATGTTCATGATGTGCATCCCACCTCCTAACGTGACAGGATCCCTTCACCTGGGTCACGCTCTGACTAACGCCATCCAGGACTGTCTCACCAGATGGTAACTACAGCTACTCTGCTCGCCCACTGAAAGTTTGGTTTCTTCTTGTTGTTAAAACGGCGTGAGCGGACATCGTTTCTCTTAACGCCACGTGTGCAGGCACAGGATGAGAGGGGAGACCACCCTGTGGAACCCGGGCTGCGACCACGCCGGCATCGCCACCCAGGTGGTGGTGGAGAAGAAGCTGATGAGAGAGAGAGGTCTGAGCCGTCACGATCTGGGCAGGGAGAAGTTCATCGAGGAGGTCTGGAAATGGAAGAACGAGTGAGTAGGAGTAGAGTAAAACAGGAGATTAGAAGAGAAGACACTAAATAATAATCGGTGCTGCTTTTGCAGGAAGGGAGATCGTATCTACCACCAGCTGAAGAAACTGGGATCTTCTCTGGACTGGGACAGAGCTTGCTTCACTATGGATCCTGTGAGTTTTCCCAAATCTCTCATCTAGCCTCTTGTGTAACAAAAATCTGGATAAACTTTTTGTGTGTAGAAACTGTCCTATGCAGTCCAGGAGGCCTTCATCCGGATGCACGACGAAGGAGTGATTTACCGGAGCAAGAGGCTGGTCAACTGGTCCTGCACACTAAACTCAGCCATCTCTGACATAGAGGCAAGCTATCCTGCAGCTTAAACTATGATCCTGTTGTCCTCACGGCTTTCCTGGATTAGAACTAGAGGTTGACTGATATTGGTTTTTCTATTCCCGATACCGATACATGTAGAGGTCGTGGTCAAATGACACGTGCGGCCGATTTTCATGGCTATCTAGGTGTTTCCACCTTACTTTCCTGCTAAAATGTCACTAAAAACAACTGTTGATGCACAAAGTTTCAGAAGCTGAATCAGTTTTGGAAAACTGAATTTAACCGGGGGGGGGGGTCGCGCTCACTCCGAGACATCGCTCCAAGATAATAACCCCTAACCCCCAAACCTCTCGTCTGAGGCAAGTTTCTTTCCCATCTGTAGTTTTATGGGAAACCACAGGGAAACGTGTCCGTCTCCTTTGCTGTTGAACGTTTCATCTTGAATGCGTTGGTGGGAATTTCACCCCATTGGGTTTAATGCTGACAGAACCACTCTGCCAGTGTCCTCTCTCGATGGAATATTCTTTTGGTTTTTCAGGTGGATAAAAAAGAGCTGACGGGCAGAACTCTGCTGCCCGTGCCTGGATACAAGGAGAAGGTGGAGTTCGGGGTCTTGGTGTCTTTTGCTTACAAGGTGGATGCTTCAGGTACACGAACAAGCGGGGGCAGAACATCTTAGCCGACGCACTGTGCGCCTGTAATTATCCTGTCCTCTGTGCTCCTTTAGATGAGGAGGTGGTTGTCGCTACTACCCGTATTGAGACGATGCTGGGGGACACGGCCGTAGCCGTCCACCCGGCTGACCCCAGATATCAGCATCTGAAGGGTAAAACGGTGCTGCATCCCTTCTGTGACCGGAAGATGCCGATAGTTTTTGACGAGTTTGTGGACATGAACTTTGGAACGGGTAAGGCTGGTCATGTGTCCACGGCTCTTCAGAGAGACGAGACAAACTAATGATACAGAGTCGTTAAGGTGGACCTTTCTCCCCATTACAGTCGTCCTTTTTATTCCTCCTCATGTCTCTTTCCAATATTTCCTGTTCAGGTGCTGTCAAGATCACCCCAGCCCACGACCATAACGACTACGAGGTCGGAGAGAGACACAATCTGACCTTCATCAACATCCTGGATGAGAATGGACTGCTTATTAACGTTCCTCCTCCCTTCCTGGTAGGGTGTCTCATTAGCCTCCTTCCTCGTGCAGCCTGGGCATTTTTATGGCGACACTAAGAGCCGAGCCTTTTCAAGGAGGCCATTTTCATCTAATCTGTCTTTCCCAAAGGGCATGAAACGATTCGAGGCCAGAAAAGCAGTCCTTCAAGCACTCAAGGACAGAGGCCAGTTCAAGGAGATCAAAGACAACCCCATGGTTGTCCCAGTTTGCAGGTAAACCAGGCTTCTTGTCTCAGTGTATGGAACTAGAATCCAGACTTTATTGCTTTTATCATGTACCTATCGTTAATTAACAGTACCTATCGTTAATTAACAGTACCTATCGTTAATTAACTTATAACTTTTGCTTTGTAACATGTAGCTTTAAGTTTGTAACATTTTAGTTTTGCTGGTGGTGGTCGGAGGGACCGGTGGTACCAGTGTTCGGCAGTCTCGCTTCCATCAGTGTGCCCGAGGGCAGCTGTGGCTGCATTGTAGCTCATCACCAGCCTGTGACTGGGTGGATGACTGATTGTGTACGAATAAGACCAATAAGCATTTACCATTTAACTTTAGTAGCATTTAACTATAGCTTAGTAGCATTTCACTTTCGCTTAGTAGCATTTCACTTTCGCTTAGTAGCATTTGACTTTCGCTTAGTAGCAGGGGTTAATTTGAGCCAGATCTTGCCAACTTGTGTTATACGCAGGGTTCAAATTATGGGTGAGCTAAAGGGAGCCCGGCTCACCCGAAAGGGTGACGTGCTCCCCTGGAAGCCCTCATCCTACACACCATGGGGTAGCCTGAAAAAGATCCTGGTTTTACTTATATTATCTATGTGGACTCTCCGGAGATGATTTTGAGCTGAGAGGCGCAGAGCTCTGATCGCAGACAGATGCGTCCTGAGCACGGCCACATTAACATTCTCAAAGTGTCGTCACCTCAAAAAATATTTAACACATGGCCGTTAATGTTTGCTCACTTCCTTTTATGCTTTCTGTCTTTAATTTGTGCCTGATGCGTTTCACTGCTGCGGAGCGGAGCGCATCACCGGTTTTGTTCTCTGGTGACTTCTCTGCTGCCGCCGTCGGCACACACTCCGCTATTTTTGCGGTCGGAAAATCTTTTTGAACTTTAGTTCAAAGGTAACTCATGAGGTGAAAATATATGAAGCCAGGTAGCAGTTTTTCTTTAGGATTGAGAGGGGATGCAGGAAGATAATAGACAGAGACAGGACAGAAAAGTGTTTGAAAAGAAAAATTTATAAGCATGTAATATTTATACATTCTATACAATTATACATATATATGATACAGTTCAGATCTCCTTCAAACCCACGCAGCAGCTGTAAGACATTTCGCCTTGCAGCCGCTGTGCGGGGGAAGGGGGGAAAGGGCTGAAGCAGGGGAACAGTAAAGATGCAAAAACTTCCATTATTAAAAGAAATGTGTGTTAACTTTGAAAATGTGGGTGCAATTTTTAATTGCTTGTCAAATACTTTAACTTTCATTTAGTGACTTACGGATATTAAAAGTTTCTAAGCACAAGTCTCAAAATACGCATCTCAAAGTTACGTGTCACAAAACACACGAGTTTTAAGCACCAAAGTCTGTATCCTAGATCCATAGAAATGGAACTCGGTGCATGTGTTTGAGACATAAAGCTTATCCGTGTTTCTGCTCCAACAGTCGTTCCAAGGACATTGTGGAGCCGCTGCTGAAGCCACAGTGGTACGTGAACTGCTCCGAAATGGGTAAGCAGGCCGCAGATGTCGTCAGAGAGGGCAAGCTCAAAATCATCCCCGACCACCACCTCAAGACGTGGTTCAACTGGATGGACAACATCAGGTCCCCGTCCCCTTTCATCTCTTTTGTTGACCTTTTACTTGTTGGTAATTTAAAGCAAAGGACTTAAGAGTCCTGATGCTATTAAAATATTTACGCTTCAAGTTTTTGTTGTAATAATAGAAAGTATTTTCCAAGTTTTAGAAAATTTATGTGAAAATAAAATTTGTATTAAAGGGGCATTATGGAAGTTTGACAGCCAAAACATGTATAGAAATAATAAATTTCTTCTTCATACATTCTCCTGCAATATCCTGGTCCTGTAGAATGAGCCCTGGCATTTTTACTGTGATTGCCTGTTTTTCTGTAAAATCACAGAAAAAGAGAGATGCTCGGGTCGAGCAGGCTGCTTCATGCGCGTTCACGCTCAGGCATAGCCCGTAGCATTTGCTATCCGTAGCTTTAGCAGCAGAGAGAGAGGCAGTCGATGGTGCCAACTCCTAACGCCTAGTGATGAACCTAGCTACATTTCTGAGGACCCATAGCTACTTTCTTCTAGATATTTCCTGCAAATTAGCAACAAAATAGCCATTCTCGCTCCAAATCGTTTTTTTGAACGTTGTTTCAGGTGTCATCACGGATATAAATGTTACCGATACAAAGGACGTTACTGATGCTTTAGCTCACCTAGTAACACGCCGGACTCTTGTGCAGAAGTCCTGGGTTCGATTCTGGGTGTGAACATAGCTTATTTAGAGTTTCTTTTTTACATTAATGGTATATTTTTTTACAATAATAAGATGCCCAAATTTTTGAGACTCGTCGAACTGCACTGAATTCACAGATAGAAAAGATGTGGGTTCAACTTTCATTTTGGAACAATTTTTCAAGCAAGGGAAGGGAATGATCTGAGCATGCAGGAGGACTGACCCATCATAAACCTTTGTCGGCTGTGCTGAAGAGAAAGGTACAGAACCAAATTATTTAATTAATTAGCTGCGTGTTCTCCTGTCCTCTATCCTCCGGGCCACACACACACACACACACACACTCACACAAGGGACTGTCTCAGCTGTTATTTTCGTTAAGGAGTGTGCACGTACAGCATGCGCGCCTCGTGCACGAGCCTACCATTGAAGCTTTCGTTATGCTTTTGGCCTGAGGGGGCAATCGCGAGCGTAAAAATTCAAAACTCCGTTAAGTCCCTTTAATATTGTAACACAAAGTGATGTTTTTAGAACATTTTTGTTTGAGAAAGCATTCATGTATGTAATGTTGTTATATAGGGGGCATAAATCACAATTAGATATAAATTTGTTGTTTTCTTACTAGAATTAAAGAACAAAATGATTGATTTGATATTTAAGTTTCTGTTATGCTCACTAATTGTTTACTTTTGGCCTCTAAACATCTAAATGAGTGTCGTTTTTAAATGTTCACCATTCTTCATCCTTGTATAGAGACTGGTGCATCTCTCGCCAGCTGTGGTGGGGCCACCGTATTCCTGCTTACTTCATCACCGTCGGCGATCCTTCTGTGAAACCCGGCGAGGCGAGTTGATCCCCGTCACTGAAGTCGAGGCCTGATGTGTAAAAGAACGATTTGCATCATAGCTCAGACTTTGATTTGTTTCCTCATCTGCTCTCCAGGACACGGATGGTCATTACTGGGTGAGCGGGAGATCAGAGGAGGAGGCCAGAGAAAAAGCTGCGAGACGCTTTAACGTGTCTGTGGACAAAATTTCCCTCAGACAGGGTAAGATTTCCTTTTTTAGATGATTTAACAACTGCAGGTCATTCCAACATATTACCGTATTTTCCGGAGTATAAGTCGCTCCGGAGCAGGGGCGGCGTTTGGTCCGGCTACTTGGTCTCAAGCCCCGAATGTTTTTTGAAAAGCCCCGGATCTAAAACGTGGAAGTAACATGCAGTACCAAAGTCCAACAGAGAGGGAGCAGCTGGCAGTAGTTTGTATACAGCCTGCCTGAGCCTCCACCACTGAAGAAGCCCTTCAGCAGCCGGCTTCTTCTACAGTCTCTGTCTGAAATGCATGTGTGAAGATGGATATAAGGACGTTTTTTTAGACAAAAGGTTCCGCGACAGATCCTCAGATCCTCAGCTTTGATGATACTGGTGTTGACTCAGGTTTGTGAGTCTTATTTGAAAATATTTGTGATTTGTAATATGATGTCGACTAGTGCGTGTCACGTGTGTGAGTGAGTGTGTGTGTGTGTGTGTCCGTGCGCGCGCGTTAAGCCCCGGATCTTCTTCAGTCCTACATCCGCCCCTGCTCCGGAGTATAAGTCGCACCAGCCATAAAATGTATAATGAAGAACATATAAGTCGCATCTTGGGGTGGAAATTTTATTATTTTTCTTACAAAATCTGAGACCAAGTATTTCACATTGCAAGACAAGTACCGGTAACAATAACATAATAATAATAATAATAATACATTTTATTTAAAAGCGCCTTTCAGGTCACCCAAGGTCACTTTACAGGAGAAGGAACACAGTACACAGTAAACAGGGTATCCGCGGGTCCATAAAAAGTCTTAAATTTACTTTTCCAAATTTAAGGCCTTAAAAATCCTTAAAAATGACAAATAATCCTTAAATACAGTTTCCAAAAGTCTTAAATGACCAAAGACCCAATAAATAAAATTATTTTGTTTCTATTAAATTTTGTGAATTTCTAGTTAGTGTTCAGCATTTTTTGTGTACGATACTTACATAAGCAGAACTGTACACATTCAGTTGGTTGTGAAAGGGGACTAATTTTAGATGAGCACATTAGCTGGTTAAGCTAGTGGGAGCTTGCGCCATGGGGAAGTGCAAGTTTAATGGTAACTGGATGGTTAATCCCACTTTTGTGATGTGGTTAGCACCGGTTCCAGGCAATAGCTGGAAATTATAGCTTCAATTTAATTTCAAAAGTAGCTTATATTTGGTCAAAGTGGCCTTAAAAAAGGTCTTAAAAAGTCTTAAATTTGGCTCCCTTAAACCTGCAGATACCCTGAATAAAAATACAGATAAAACAACTAAAGAACAAGTAAACGGAATAAAATAGATGAACAGCAGCGCGCCACGGTCTCCAGCAGAGGATGGCGGTGTTTGAAACCCTCCCAACGGGCGGGAAGAGCTCATTCCTGGGTCGGAGCCGCCCGGCCCACAGCAGCTCGCCGCAGGCTGAAGCGTGGACCGAAGCCGGTCCGCAGCAGCGCGGTATACGTAATTTGGTATATAAGTAGCTCCGGAGTATAAGTCGCAGGACCAGCCAGACTTATGAAAAAAAGTGCGACTTATAGTCCGGAAAATACGGTAATTAATTCCAGCTCATTGGTGCCAACTTTTGTTCCTGCCTTTCAGACGAGGATGTTCTGGACACCTGGTTCTCATCTGGCATTTTCCCCTTCTCCATTTTCGGATGGCCTAATGAGGTAAAGCTGAAGTCGGCTGACTCTTTACTGACACAAACGGTGCAGACGTACGGTCCCTCCTGTTGTTGAAGCGGAGCTATAAAGAAAAGCTTATAAACTCGATACGTCACCTCAACACTGAGGTCACTTGTAACTTTTATTAAAACATAAACGGTTTATGTCTGACCTTCTGAAAGTCATCCTTGTAAAACACGACTTTGAAACTTGTTTTCTCGGTATGTTCATACGTTTCCTTCATAAATGCTTCGTTTTTGCTTCAGACCGAGGACCTGAAGGTGTTCTACCCTGGCACCCTGCTGGAGACGGGTCATGACATCTTGTTCTTCTGGGTGGCACGGATGGTGATGATGGGTCTGAAGCTGACGGGCAAGCTGCCCTTCAAAGAGGTGAGGTCAATAAAACCTTCGGTAGGCTGTCAGACTAATCAGATGATTACACCTTTTAAATAATTCTGCGTTTGTTGAACAGGTGTATCTGCACGCGGTGGTTCGGGATGCTCACGGAAGAAAAATGAGCAAGTCTCTAGGCAACGTCATCGACCCGCTCGATGTCATTACAGGGATCTCCCTGGAGGTAAAGTGAAATAACACATCAGCTCAGGTGCACCTCCCTGTCTCCCAGTCCCTATACGACCTTCATCAACCTCCTACTTTTGCTTTCAACAAGCTTTTATTGAATCCATCAATCTCCTGAGCAGCTGGGAGGAACCGGTTCGGGCAGATGAGGCAGACCTGTCCTCTAGAGGGCACCGAATGAACGCTTTTCTTTTACTTGCACTTTTCTCCTCTTGCAGGTTAACAGCTGAACGCATTTTGATGTTTCGTCTGTGCGTCCTGTAGGGTCTTCATGCTCAGCTGACAGACAGCAACTTGGACGCTCTGGAGGTGGAGAGGGCAAAGCAGGGCCAAAAGGCCGACTATCCAAACGGCATCCCAGAGTGTGGGACGGATGCTCTCCGGTTTGCATTGTGCGCCTACACCAGCCAAGGTGAATACATTCAAGTGTCTGTCTAAAACAGATGTACAAAAACAGTAGAGAAGATATATGAACTGTATTATTATTATTATTGCATCTTTCAGGAAGGGACATCAACCTGGATGTCAACCGGATTCTGGGTTACCGTCACTTCTGCAACAAACTGTGGAACGCTGTGAAGTTTGCGATGAAGACCCTGGGAGATGACTTTGCACCGTTGGAAAAGGCTCAGGTGGGACGAGGAGAGACTTCTGGTTTATTCCTCTCAGAGGTTAGGCCGAACAAACCCGATCACACTCCGTGTCTCTTCAGCTGTGCGGTGAGGAGAGCGTGTCAGATCGGTGGATCCTGTCCAGGCTGAGCGCCGCCGTCGCCCTCTGTGACGCCGGCTTCAAGGCCTACGATTTTCCAACCATCACCACCGCCATCTACAACTTCTGGCTCTACGAGCTCTGCGACGTCTACCTGGTAAACCCGGGGACTCTGATCAACTCTGTCACCTCGTACGCACGTAGCATTTCTCTAATTTCTCCTCTCCGGATCCAGGAAAGCGTGAAACCGGTGTTTATCAAAGCGGAAGAGGACGGCGTTGGTCAGAGGCAGGCCCGGGTGTGCAGACAGACGCTCTACACCTGTTTGGACGGCGGATTGCGCCTTCTGTCTCCCGTGATGCCCTTCGTCGCTGAAGAGCTCTACCAGCGGTTGCCACGGCGACAACCTCAAACAGATCCGCCCAGCATCTCCGTCACATCTTACCCCGACACCAAGGAGGTAAGATGCAGAATTCTAGCAGTTTTTTTTAATGGCAATGCATTTTTTTTAAAAGATTTTCTCCTTCGTGTTTTAGTTTTGCTGGAACAGTGAGGAAGTTGACCGCGACATGGAGTTCATAATGACGGTGGTCAGGACGATCCGGTCGCTTAGAGCCGACTACAACCTGACAAAGACGCGAGCCGACTGTAAGATTTCAGGAACATTTTATGTGTCTCGAGTTTTATTCCAGAACTTTCTGAAACACTTAAACTGCTCTCACCTTCTCAGACGTGCTGGAAAGCAGCTGCATAATTAACTCTTGCACTTACAGACTCTCAGCGTCATTATTTCCATCTTAAGCTCCTTTTGATTTGATATTTTTCCTGCTTGTGAGCACGCTGCTGTAAAATGGACAGAGCTACACGAGCACGCAGGATAATTGAGCTAATATGACTTACACCCACCTGTTTTATCTCCTAGGCTACCTTCAGTGCCTAGACGCTGCAACCGTGTCGCTGGTGCAGAAGTACGCTCTGCAGATCCAGACTTTGTCTTACTGTCAGGCCGTCGCTCCGCTGACAGCCAGTCAGCCGGTCCCAGAAGGCTGCGCTGTGGCTATTGCCTCTGACAGATGCACTGTCAACCTCATGCTCAAGGTGAGCCCCGGTAATCTGCTTTTTTTCTGTTTCGGTTCATCGTATCCGTGTAAATGAGTCATCATACGCCACAGATGAGTGGGTGTTCATCTCCGTTTTTCTGTTATTAATCAGCTTAATGCTCTCTGAGCCTTGACGGGTTCCAGGGTGGAACATTAAAAGCCCTAAAAGCACAAAACATCACATTTACAAGTAAAAATATGCTAATGTGCTTCTCTGGCTTTGCTTTTTAGTCCTCTCTACAACACCGACATTACAAGACTATCATTTACAACTTTTTCCCCTTCTCCAGGGACTCATTGATGTGGAGAAGGAAGTGACTAAGCTGATGACAAAGAAAGGTGACTTGGAGAAACAGATGGAGAAGCTGAGAGAAAGGATGGTTAAGAGCGACTACAAGGAGAAGGTGCCGGTGAAGGTGCAGGAGCAGGATACAGAGAAGGTGACGAAAATAAATTGACTTGCTTGTTTTGTGCAACTCTAGAACGCAGGAATTTCAGGTAAATAACACTTTTTTCCCTCCCCGTCCGTCCACAGCTACGGCAGAGTCAGACAGAGCTGGAGAAAGTGAAAGAAGCCATAGAAAACTTCAGGAAGATGAGCTAATGTCTCTCTTGGTTTCTATGTAAAATCAGAATTTACTCCCACTTTTATTTTCATGTCTGTTAATTTTCAGCTCGGCTGTAGTGTGGAGAGAACTCAATAAAGCACTTAAGGCAGATAATGGGATTCAGTAACACGAGTCTTTATAACTCCATGTAGGTGTGATGAATGAATGAATCCATCTCAAATACTTATTCAGCTTATTTAATGGAACACTTAAGAGCAAAACCGGAACAGCTTAAACACTTTGGCTGATGGTTTAGAAATAAAACAGCTTTTTACTTATTAAATATTCCTTTAATTGTAGCTATAATGTTTTTCTGCTTGTAAGAGTGGAAGGAGTGAGTGATGGCATCATCGTTTTAAAAGAGAATGACTAAATACTCAACTAAAAAGCAAATAAGTACCATAATTTACATGTTTTGGACTCTGTGAGTGTGTGTGTGTGTGTGTGTGTGTGTGAATAAAACACCATGCCAGAAACAGACCACAGGCCACCCAACTCTGCTGCTCTCCCTTCATCCCGTCTCTTCTACAGTCTCCAGGGCGAGTGGAACTCAGCAGCAGGGAGAGGAGTGCAGTGTGTGGATTCAAAGTTTCTCATGTACTTCCGAGCCTTGGAGAAACAGAACGAGTGGAGGAGGAAAGGAGAATTAGACGTGTGGGTGGGCAGCGAACAGAGGAGGACAAAAAAGAAAGAAGGGTGCAGAGCTTGATTGTATTAGGTCGACTATCTGGCTCGGTGCCTCACAGAACTCTCCCATCTCTTAAGGGTTTACACGGCGAGGTGAATAAAGCCTCATTTAGGAGGCATCGCCAGGGAAGGGAAGGCATAGCATTAGCTGTAATTGATGGCACTCCTCTTGTTTGATGTTAAATTACTTCAATAAGCCGAGAGCGCTAAAATATATTACACCAGTCAACCCGAGAGCACAGGTGAGCTGGTTTCCATGGCGACCAGAACGGTTCCTTAGCGGTAATGATGTCTGAAGAGGTGGGATTTCTCATTTTATTTTGGAGTGTAAGAAACGGGGATGTAAGCCAACCAGGGGAAAAGGTGAGACTTGTCGGAGGAGAAGGAATTAAGACTCCAGACATGTGAGACTCGGAGTGGAGATGGAGACAACAGGTCCTATTAGCCGAGATTCAGAACAAACACGATAAAAGATGAATTCCTCACCAGGAATAGAGCCAGCTGCCGTCTCCCCTCCAGAGTCATGTCTTCACCTGGTGACGTTACAGAGGCTGAGTTAATTGCTTGTTGTAAATGTGGAACAAGAGTCTGAGCTTACCGACGCTCCATGGAAACGAGACGTCTCTGTCTGCCTGATAGGACTGCAGCACGGACGTGCACCAGTCGTCATCCACTTCATAGCCGCTGTACACGGACGCTGCAGAGAAGAAAACATTAATACACGAGGTTTAATCCAAAATTTCCCCGGCAGATGAGCTGCATGCATCCACTTACCTTCTCCTAACGGGCTGGATGCTCCGAGCCACTGCCTGACAGCTCGGATCCCTTCATCTGTCATTATTTTGGGATACCTGACAAGGAGAATTAGACTTCTGCTTAAGTATGAGCCACTTAATGAGCCCGAATACACCAAGTGCCTCCGGGAGGGAGAAACCTGACACAAGGTGTGTGTGTGTGTGTGTGTGTGTGAGAGAGAGGGAACAAACTGACCTGAACTGAAGCAGTCTGAGCAAAAGATCGTTTCCTCTGTTGGACATGATGTCCTCTGGACCGCTGTAACACATCTGAAGTTAGCATTTGAGACGTCGTCCTGTTTAATCCGAGCAGCTCAGCAGGAATGTTGTACACTAATCAGAAAGGCTCACGACCACAAACTACAGGACATTTGTTCCTGTACTATTAAAATGAATGAATGATATCCAAACACCACCCTGCTTCAAACTTTACTTAACTGCCCCCTTTAAAGTGATTATTTGCATAATTTATCAACTTTTATGGTTATGATCAGTGCTGCATGTTTAAAAATACAGACAACATGTTTACATTAACCAGAAACATCACTCAATGTGGCCGATCAGCTGAAAGAGACGGAAACTGAAACGGTTTAGCAAAAGCAGACGCCAAAATAATGTTTCAGAAATACCATTAATAATCTGACTGGTCTAATAGATGACAGATGAAACTCAAAAAGGAGAATATGGTGCAAACATCATTCATGTCAGTCATTCAACTTCAAAGGTGAAACTGATATATGAGAGACTCGTTACATGCAAAGCCACATATTTCAAGCCTGTATTTGATATAGTGTCTTCTAGAGTCCTGGAAGATAAGCTCCTCCTAGCTGTTCCGAATGCACGTTTAAAAAGCCGTGGCTTTCTCTGTCTGTGCACCGAAGCTGTGGAACGCGTTACCACTGCTAGTGAGGCTAGCACCAACAGCTAGCATGTTTAAATCACGCCTGAAAACTCACTACTTCAACCTAGCTTATACCACATAATTATGAACCTCACTTACATCTGCACTGTTTAAAAATGGAATTCACAATATCAACTTCTGTATTATTAAGGTTCTTTTTAAAATGTTCTTCTAATTTTTCATTCTCCCTGTGTTTTATTGATTTTTAGCTGTTAGTTTTGGGAATTTTGTTGTATTTCCTTTTTATCTTGTATCCGTGTTCGACATGTTTGTATAACGCCGGTTTAATTAACTTACATTTTTAGTGTACAGCGCCTTGTTTGGTTGTAATGCCTTGTGAATGCGCTTTATAAATAAAATTGGATTGGACCCCCCCCCCCCCCCAAGGCACTTTACAACAGTCATTCACAGCTGCCCTGTGTACGGCAGCAGAGGCGAGTCTGCTGTACACAGGCACCACCGCTCCCTCCGACCACCACCAGCAGGCATGGTGGGTAAGTGTCTTGCCCAAGGACATAGCGACAGACTGAGCGGAGCTCAAACCTGCAACCTCCCAATTACAGGGCGAGCACCTAACTTCTGTGCCACCGTCGCCCCATTATGACTTACTGCTGATGAAAGTCTCACAAGGGCTCCTGGGCCTTTAGATGGTCTCTCAGTTGAATTACTGACATATTGGACTTTTTCACCGTATTTAAATTTTTTGACTTTCACCGTTAAATACTGCAATGCTATGTGTCATGATGTTGAATCAACGTTTAAAAGTGGTTTATCAGTTTTTACAGTATTCCTGTTGAGTGGTGCAATTCAAACTCCGACTGCTAGGTGGCAGCAGTTTTTACCGCCTTCATTGTGACGGAAAAACAAGATCTTGCGATAACACTGGATGTGTCTTGAAAGCGTCTGGCCTGAGTTTTCCAATTAATTCAGTCTTAACTCATTCACTTTTTTGCATTTTTTTTACTGTGTGAGCGTCGGACGAGCCCCCACGCCGTCCGTGAGAACAAACATCTCAGCTTTAAAGCCGATCTTCATCCGCGTACGTCACACGTCACGTGATCAGGAAGCAGAACATCCATGTGTTAGGATATCGTTTTGGGCCGCTGCTGTAAAAAAAAAGTGAAGCGCGAACCGGAAAAGCTTCTGCCGATCACAATTCAACAACGGATTATGAAAGAAGGGATAACGCTCGAAACGCGCGGATTCTTCCTGATGTAAGAGGTGAGACTCCGCTTTGTTTTGGTCATTTTGGCGCCGTCGACATCATCCTAGCGCGCAGCGTTCTGTGACTCTTAAAAAAACTGTAAAAACGGTGAGAAACGCTGGCAGCGAATGAGTTAAAAACGACAAATATCGACTTTTAGTATCGCGATATACATCCGATCACCAAAATCTTGCCAATACACACTCATATTTTAAATAAAATATTATTATATATTTAGAATATTGGTAAATATTAGTTATCAGCCACAACAATATTAATATTGGATATCGATATCGGCCCATATTTCCATACAAGTGCATCCCTAAATGTTGGTGTTTTAAACTACATTAAAGAAATAATACTCAAGCACTATCAGAACTATAAAGTACAACAAGTAAGCATTTTCAGTTATTTCAAAAACCCCATTTTCCTTTCTGCAGCTAGAAGTAACCACGACTGGACAGAAGGGTGGAGGTGGATGGTCCTTGAAAACTTCCAAAGGACTTTTATTAAAAAAATGCAACAACTCAGATCTGAAAAGTCATAATTAGTGTGGAAATTTCACAAGATTTCAGAAGCTAAAATTTGTTCTTTTATCTAATTAACCCAAACAAAGTAAGCTAGGGCGCTGCCGAGCGTTTCATGTTGTGTGGTGGGGACCTACGTTGTGGTGATGATCTCATCTTTGGTCCTTCTGATCAACAGGACTGGTCCCTGGTATCTGAAACATGTAGCTTTATTAGTCATCAGTCAACATGAGCAAGAAACAGTTTCACTTTTGTTTACCAATAACTTATCAAGCTCCACCCTACACTCACTTGATGAGCTGCTCGGCGTTGTTAAGGTTCATGTACTGCCTCACCGTGTGTTGAACCAGCGGTTCTGAGAAAAAATAAACACTGAAACAATATTTTCTGCTGAAGGAGTCTGAAACCGGTAGCTCGTGGCACTCACTCCAACTTTCAGGCATAACTTTGAGAGCCAGAGGGAGGAGGTCATCAAAGGAGGCGTCCAATACTATAGCTTGGATCTCTGGGTATGACATCACCGCCCAACTGGCTAAGAAACAACAAAAAAAAAGGAGATTAGTTACCGGGACATTTTGAGATAAACTGCAAAAAAATAGTTTTTCTAAGAAAGTTAAAAAATCTTCATTTTTAGATATTTTGTGGTGTTTTCTCCAGAAAATAGCATAACCTAAAATAAGGTTAATATTCTTGAATATGATCCACATTTTCTTGTTTTAAGTTAAAAATCTGCCAACGAGGTAAGCAGCTCGGCTAGAAACCTCACAAATAGCAAAATAATCTAATTCTAGGTTTGTTTCAGGATTTCTAGCCAAGCAGCTTTTGCTTACCCCACTGGCGGATTTTTTTTTTACTCAAAACAAGGAAATCTGGATCATACTTCAGAATATTTACCTTACTGTTTTTCTAGAGAATAATTTATTTTCTTTTTAGATAAAAAAAAGATAAAATGTCTAAAAATTATACTTTTTAAAAACTTTCTAAAACCATCTAGAATGTTTTCAAGCTAGTTTATATGTTTGAACGTTAACGTTTGCTCTGTCTGCACCTGTGAATCCTCCTATGGACCAGGCATAGATCACAATGTCGCTCAGCTGGAAACCAAGTTTGTGAATGGCGAACTGGACGACCACATCCATGGCGTTCGCCTCGTTCTGGGGAAACGGCACTCCCTGGTGGAAACGTACAGCGAACAGAAATAAATCCCAGAACTGAAACACGTTGAACTTTTAAGCCATTAAAACATAAACAGCCTTCCTGCTGATACTAACCAGCTACGGGAGTGCATCTGGTTCTAGTGTGATACTCAAACCAGTTTCTCCACTCCTCCGCTTGTTTGAGCTAAATGATGCACAGCCTACATACAATGGAGCCTGCTGTTGCTTACCGTGCTGCCTCCAAAGCCAGGGTGGTTCCAGCCCAGAACGGAGTACCCACCTAAAGTAAACGATCAGCGTTAACTTGTTTAGCAACATTTTAGACTAAAACATTATTCTGCACTTTTAAATGTCAGTATTTCTCACCCTCCAGAGGCGTGTTCATGCAGCCCACCTCATAAAATCCGGCGTTGCCCTCACAGCAGATGACCTGTGGAAGAATTCAAGAACCATCTGTAAGGTGACGGGAGTTTTGTTGGACCCTGGAACCAGCCCTGAGCGCAAAGGCAACAAATCACTGCTGACATTTACCAGAGTCTGGCCGTTCGGGCCCCCGTCTCTCCTTCGATCCACAAACATTGTGTCGATCTCGTTCCCGTCGCAGGCCACCAGCTTGTTCCTTTGACCGTCAAACTGTGACAGAAAATGATCAAATACGACACGCAGCATCTCTGAGGAAGATTATTTCTTCTCTTACCTCCTCTATCAGCTTAGCCTGGCCTTGCTGCAGCATCGGTCTCATGGCTTTCTGTAGCAACCCCACAGAACCAGGATACAACATCCTCCTCCCAAAAGAGTGAGCAATGAGGTAGCTGCAGAGGAAAACTGTTAATGATGCTGTGGTAGAACCGCTGGGAGAAATGAAATAAGAAACATACATGCTAGTATAACCGTGCACTTACCCAACGATGTGGCACGGTAAAGTGCGAACAGAGTAAAGAACGTTGTCTGCTGTTCCTCTCAGTTTGGGCTCGGGCTTCAGCAGAGAAACGCCACCTTTGGACATTTTCCTTCAGAGGTGAACGACGGACCCATTATACACACACTAAATACACCCAAACCTATTCACTACACTTCTACAACAACTGAAGTAATGCAAGCTAAATGACATGACTACAATTTAGTATAGCTGCATTGAATAAGAGGCCATTTTAAACAATAACATCAAGTGTGAATAATTAAAGTCAGACAAGCTTTCAAGTGTAATTTAAAAAGCATAAAGAGTTCATTATGTCTGGAGTTCAGGAGGTAAGGTGAAACGGGACTGAATGCTCTACCTCCAGTGGAAGTAGGGGTGGGGGTAAGGAACAGTGATGTGGATGAATGAGGATGACCTGAGAGTGTGTGGGAAGTTATATCGGTGTGGATAAGGTCAGACGGGGAGGAAGGAGCCGGGTTATGGATGGCCTTAAAGCTGAGGAGCAGTAAATAAAGGGAAGCCAATGAAGTTTGTGAAAGACGGGAGTAAAATAGTGAGCCGAAGGTGTTCTGTTGTGAAACTGGTGGCAGAGATCTGAATCAGGTGAAGTCTATGTAATGACTTGAGAGGGAAACCAAAAGGAGATTTCCAATAGTTAATGTGAGGCGTGACCAGGTGTGTCAGCAGAAATGGGTGGAGAAGACGTAGATTACGCAGTAGGGCTGGGGGTAAACGCTTATTCTTAAAACGATTATTCTGATGATTATTTTATCGAATAGTCGATTATTCTAATGACTATTTAGACAATTAATCTAATGATTAAATTTCTATTGCACAGTTAATAAAAACCAAAAAATCTCAAATAAATTCCTCCAAAAAATTGATAAATTGTTACTGTAAGAGAATAAACACTACAGCCTTCCATTTTGTATAACACTGCTTTTATTGGTTATGTTCTGGTGAGGTCCTACCTCAAGTGGAGGAGTTTACGTATCTCGGGGTCTTGTTCACGAGTGAGGGTAGGAGGGATCGGGAGATCGACAGGCGGATTGGTTCGGCGTCTGCAGTGATGCGGACGCTGAGCCGATCTGTCGTGGTGAAGAGGGAGCTGAGCCAGAAAGCCAGGCTCTCGATTTACCGGTCGATCTACGTCCCAATCCTCACCTATGGTCATGAGCTTTGGGTAATGACCGAAAGAACGAGATCGCGGATACAAGCGGCCGAAATGAGTTTCCTCCGTAGGGTGGCCGGGCTCAGCCTTAGAGATAGGGTGAGGAGCTCGGACATTCGGGAGGGACTCGGAGTAGAACCGCTGCTCCTCTGGATCGAAAGGAGCCAGTTGAGGTGGTTTGGGCATCTGGTCAGGATGCCTCCTGGACGCCTCCCCGGGGAGGTGTTTCGGGCATGTCCTGCCGGCAGAAGGCCCCCGGGTCGACCCAGGACACGTTGGAGAGGTTACATCTCCAATCTGGTCCGGGAACGCCTTGGGGTCCTGCCGGAGGAGCTGGTGGACAAGGCCGGGGAGAGGACGGCCTGGAGCTCCCTAATTGGGATGCTGCCCCTGCGACCCGGACCCGGATAAGCGGAGGAAGACGAAGACGAAGACGAAGATGTTCTGGTGACGTGTAGAATGTGGGAGAGCAGGCTGCTGCCTGAGAGGTGGTTGGAGACGGACTGTCTCCATGCTGCTTTGTTTGCGTGAGGCGAGTGGTGTTACGACCCTTCCTGGGGAGTTTGGCTCGTGTGCAAAAAGGAAGGGACAATAACGGGATTTAAAAGTTAAAATGATGATCAGGTTTATTTACAACAACAAAACATAAATCTTTCCATCCACAGGTTGGGAATAATGAAACAAATTCTGCCTGTGGGGAATGAAAACAAAAGTACAAATAAGTAGGGATGTCCCACTGGGCAAATATTACAGGGTTCTGGACCAAAATAAGGATCTCCAAAGGTCCAAACTCTAAACTGGGTGGTTAAACCAAACTCAAGGTGATATTTTAAACTAAACCGAAAACCCACAACACTCTAAATGTAATAAAAGGGAGATCTGCACCACAAAAACGATGAACTCTAAACCAAAACGTAACAGCTTATCCAAACGCAAGAAGCTGTTAGCGAAGATGCTAACAGTAGCTGTACCAACGTTAAGTTCAAGTTACCAAGTTTAAATAAACCAAAAACACCCAGCAGCAAACAGACCAGCACGGAGGAGAGACTGCTACCACCAAGACCGCTCTCCTAATGTCTGAAAGAAGCTCCTTTATGAAGGGAGAAGCGCTCCCGGTGATTTTCTACATCTGCGATAGAGACGAAGCAGCGCATCTGACCCCGGAAGTTGTTGTCCGTTGCCGGGAGACGAAGGCGGGCAAAACAGGAAAGGAATCTAGTAGCAGACGGGCATTGTTCTGGGTCTTCGGTATTTGGTGGAGATGAGATGTTAGTGAAGGTGGAGAAGAGGATGAACTAGAGGAAAAACAGGCAGATTCCTCCTCTATTTACAAACTCCTGGGGATGCAACAAGTGGGCGCGGTGCGTCGACTACCGGATCTGACGTCGACAAATTTTTAGAATCGAGTCGTCAACGTCATCGAGGCTTCGCTACAGCCCTATTACGCAGGTGAAAGTAGACAAACCAGATGACCGTTCTGTTCAGCTTGTATAGAAATGAAGTAATGACACCAGGACATTTAACCCAAGGGGAGGGATCCATAGTGCAGGTTTTAACGTTGTTAGCTTTGGAAAGAGCTGATTTTGTACCAATGAGGAGAACGACTGTGTAGAGGTCTCATACAGACAGCCAGAGAGGGATGGAGGTGGAAGGTAGAGTTGGGGGTCATCAGCATAGCGGTAAGGGTGTAACAGAATACCTAAAGTACTTTGTTTTTAATGTCAAGGTTCGTTTAAGTTTCGGTGCATTAAGTGAGCAAAGTGAAGAAAAAGGTTTTCCTTTGTGAGAAGTAAAGATTTAATGACATCTAAAAAAAAACTTAACATGCATTACAATATCCAACAAAAGATTCTCAGATAACATAAAAATGTTTAGGATAAAATAAAAAATACATAACAGTTCAGTTTCACAACTATTACTTCCAGTCTTCCAGGTCAACAAAGAACCAGGTGTCTGGTACCTACACCAGTCTACATGGACCGAGTGGGACGGGTCCTTTGAAGGATGCAGCTCTGAATTTGGACACAGCCTTGTGTGTTGATGGCTTAACAGCAATGCAGTTACATATCTGTGTGAGATCCGGTACGTGTAAGTGACGCACAAAAAAATCGGAAAATGAGCACACGTACCGTTCATCGCCATATACATACGGTGCCGTTACACCCCAAGTAAAAGTTTATATGCAAATGCCAAGGGGAAACAAACACACATTGAACCGAACTGGCTCAAGTACAGAGCCCTGAGAAGCACCGGTGGTGACAGGAAATTAGTTAGATTTCTACGCTTTGATGTGAATTTGCTGAGTGTAACCCGGAAGATGACAACCAGTTAAAGGGTGTGTATGAAATGCAAATCTGTGTAGGGGAATGGCCTGGGAGAAGGTGTCAAAGGTCAAAGACAGATGAGGAACTAGGGAGTAGGTGGGTTTCTACCAAAGCAGAAGGGAATAACTGAAGTTCCAGACCACAACTTACGGGTTGCTGACTTCCTTCCAGCTGAAATCTACAGGCCAGTATGAGAAGTCGAAGTCATAGCATCTAAGCTTTCTCTAAACACAAAACCACAAAATTCTGTTATTCTTCATTTACTAATAATAAAAAAATAGTTTCATTTTTCTAAAACGTATAAATTCAATTCCAAATTCTGAGTGCTTTTCGAAATCCAGCAAGGTCTTACCTTGTTTGCTGGTGTGTGATTCTTCTTAGCTTCCTCAAGAATCGAGATAAACTGAACATATTCAGAGTTTCTCCATCTCCCCCACCCTTAGGCGGAAGGGAAGGGAAAGGACAGGAAGCAGGAAGTAAAGACAAAAAGAGATTAGTGGAGTTTATGTGCCGCAAACAAACATTTTGCTGCAAAGCCTCAAGAGTGGGTTTGGTGTGCTTAGTGGGCATAGACCTTGTTCAGCGGTCTCAGTGCATGCAGAACCTGCAGCATATGCTGTGATATCTTAAGATGAATAACCACAATTAGGTAGGAAATCTGTTGTCTCACCTCTAAGACAAGCAACTCCTAGAAGACACACGAGTGCGGTTCCCACATACTGACCCACTGGAACCAACTTACTGCTGCAGATGTAGCCTGAAAATGAGCAAATGAACAGACACTAACCCAAGGCTAAACAACAAGGAGCACTAAAAAGACAGTCTAACAACTAGCCTGTAGCCATGAGCATCAATCAGTTTTAGAGGACCATACTTTAAGGAGCGACACATGACCTTGGGCAATTAACTTCAACAGATGCTCATCCTCGCTGGATGAATCAGTTAAGTTCATATCAATCCTATTTGCAAGAGAACGAGAATTTACAAGGACATGCCAATTATTAGACTAGTCTTCGGGGTAAGATTTGCATTCAGAAACTGTACGCGTTTTCAAATGATTCAATGTCAGTAATCTTCAGGGACGTGCCGATACAACGTTTTCGCTTCCGATACGATACCGATATTGCAGCCTTTGGTATTGACCGATACCGATATCAATCTGATACAAAATGAGCGCAAACCATACATACTTTTACTTATTTAAGTCCCTAGTGTGGAACGTTTGAAAGGCTAGATCAAGTGATATTACCGTATTTTCCAGACTATAAGTCGCACTTTTTTTTCATAGCCTGGCTGGTCCTGCGATTTATACAACAAAATGACTTGTACACCAAATTATGTACACCGCGCTGCTGCGGACCGGCTCCGGACCAGGAATAAGCTCTCCCCGCCCGCTGTGAGGGTTTGAAACACCGCCATCCTCTGCTGGAGACCGTGGCGCGCTGCTGCGCCCTGGTTGTTTATTCTGTTACTGTTACCAGTACTTGTTTTGCAATGTGAAACGCTTTGTCTCAGATTTTGTAAGAAAAATAATAAAATTTACCCTAAAATGCGACTTATAGTCCAGTACGATTTATATATGTTTTTTACTTCTTCATTATACATTTTATGGCTGGTGCAACTTATACTCCGGAAAATACGGTACTCAATCAGAGAACAAGAGCCAATAACAGTAAGTATGAAAAAAAATGAAAATGTTTTTTAAGCCATTGGTTGCAAAAATGTGAGCCTTAACGGACTTGTTATATCGGAGGTTTTTGATGCAGTCCGATATAATCTCATAGTGTTTTTGGGCCGATATCGGAATGGGACATCCGTAGTAATCTTACTAAATTACATCTACAAACCCCTTTCAGAATTTAAACATGTGAATTTAAGACGGCACACCACGACGTAAAAACTATATCATGTTAAACATTTTTTTCTTTTAATAACAAAGATAAGTTTAACTAAATTTAATGTGTGTAATGGGGTTAGGGTTAGTATATCGTATCACACTCTTCTTCGTATAGTTAATATATCGTATCTCCAGTTTCTTGCTAATACAAACTCCTCATCTGAAAAAAATTATGGATTATTGTGAAAAATAATTAGATAATTTCTGTATATATATATATATATATATATATATATATATATATATATATATATATATATATATATATACATACATACACTACATACACAAATATATATATATACATATACATACATATATACATATACATATATATGAAACAGGGAAGCCAGAGATTATTTCTCTCAGAGTTTTCCCACAAGGCATTTATTCACATAGAGACCACTGCAGGTGTGTAGAAAAAAACCCGAGTGAACTTGGTCTTTAAATAAACAAAATCCACTGTTATGGATATATTACAATTTCATTTTATATATATATATACATATATATTTATACATATATGTATATATATGTATATATATACACACATATATATAATATATATATATATATACACACACACACACACACATATACATATATACATATATATATATATATATATATATATATATATATATACATATATGAATATATATATGCATATGTGTATATATATGTATATATATAAAATGAAGTTGTAATATATCCATAACAGTGGATTTTGTTTATTTAAAGACCAAGTTCACTCGGGTTTTTTTTCTACACACTTGTATAGTGAGCTAGATCAGAGAGGAGAAGAAGCCGGCAGGATCTGGAATTTTATTTTCTGGTATTCGGCTATCTCGCCTCTGATTGGCTAACAGAATGAATGAATGCCTTCATTGTCATTACACAAGTACAACGAAAATTCAAAGTACTCTCTCCTAAGAAGCATGAAAAATAATAATAGTAAAAAACATTAAAAGTAGAACCTAGCTAAAAAATAAGTTAATTAAAAAAACACATGCCACGTGTACACAACAGTCACGTTGCTTTCGTCTTACACAATTCAATATTTGCTCGCTGTTAAGCCCTGTTCGTAAGAGATTGTGTCGGCTGTAGATGGTGTAGGCTGAGCAGCACATTATTGTGAGTAGTAGCACTTCACACACAAGTACCCAAACAAAACAGAGAAAGAGAGAGCGCTGAGCTGCTGCACCTGTGCGTGCCACCATCTTGAGCCAACACTGCAACAAGACTCTTCCATTGACTTCATTTGCTTTGCAATGTTGCGGTTTTATCTCCACAAATAACACTACTTACTACTTGGCCCCTCAATAAATATTATGGCCCTTTTATGGCCCTGTACTCTGACAAATCCTGGATCTGCCACGCAGCCCCAAAGGAAAGTAGTTTTCCTATAAATCAGTAACGACTTAAATTCAAATAGTTTTGTCCGTTGTTAAGCACCAGCAGATAGTGAAAGTGAAAGCCTGTAACTGGACCAACCTTTTCTGTACAGATACCCCAGGAGAAGAGGGGAGCTGTAGTAGGACAGGGACCACAGCACTGAAGCCTAAAAAGCGAGGACAAACTTAAGTCTAATTCATTTAAAATTCTTCCATCTAAATCACATAGAATGTAATACAGACCCAGCCAATAATGCTGTCGGTGTGCTTTTCCAGACCTCTGGGTCGGTAGTTCAATCCCTGTTAGAGAAAACCGTATTTAGTGTTTTTATAACTGAGAACAACAGACATTAGCTTAGCTAGCATAGTCATGTCACGCAGACAGCACATTCTGGGTATGTAGAAGCTTTTTTAACATTTTAGAAGATTTTCAGCCCTTGTTGTTTTGCATTTGTTCTCTTTTTCCATTATGTGTTTCATCACACTCTCTTTTGGCTAACCTTTGTTCTCAAAATGTCAAAACAAGAAAACGTAAGCTAATGTTAAAGTGAATATTTTACAGCGAAGGTAAAACTGGCAGACATTTTAAATAGATAAATAAGAATGTTGTTATAGTTTCATTCATTTCAAACTGTCATTCCGGGGTTAGCACTAGCAAGGATTCAATATCAGCTAGAAAAGCAGCGATAAAACTGAACACCTTTCCAGTCTCCGCGGTTCTAAAACAACTCAAAACATCATCTGTCCGTTCCTACCCTTCTGGACGACCTGCTTTCGGTTCGAGGCTGGTCCGGGGGCCGGTGAATTCGTTGAAGATGAGGCCCAAAAACACAGCGCACCCACAGCCAGTCCGCCATTGCTCCACTGCGATCTCGACGGAAGCCCGCGCCGACCACTCCCGTCGAAACTGCGAAAGCGCTCCGACATTCGGCGAGGTGAAAAATGACAATCCAGTAATTTTAGAAACAAAAGTTTCCTTTTATAAAACTATTCTCTGTTACACACACAAATACAGGAAGGTGTGATCTGAAATGCTTGGCAACAACAGCAGCAGCAGCAGCAATAATAATAATAATAATAATAATAATAATAATAATACATATTTTTGCACTCTAGTGAATTTGTGAGCTCCACATTGTGCCATGGTCTTCTTCTTCTTCTTCTTCTTCTTCTTCTTCTTCTTCTTCTTCTTCTTCTTCTTCTTCTTCTTCTTCTTCTTCTTCTTCTTCTTCTTCTTCTTCTTCCCAACTGGGGTGCAGTGGTACCAGTACTCTAACTGCTATTCATGTCAATATGAAATAAACAAAACAAAATAAACAATAATACAGAAAGGTTCTGTAGGTTGGGGCTAGAAACCATTGTTTAAGGCAGGGGTTCCCAAATTGGGGGTCGGGGCCCCCAAGGGGGTCCCCACAAGATTGCAGGGGGTCCCAACAATTTTGTCTTTGCTATGGTTGTGTGGTTAACAAGATTTCATTTGAAAAAATAACATTTATAAAATCCCAATAACATAATGACAGAACTACAAGTATAAGTTATACCTCTGTATAAAGATAGTAACTGGTCACATAATGTGTGTATGTGTGTAGGACTTGGGGTTGGGGGTCCTGGCTTGTCTTGGACACCAGCAAGGGGGTCCTCAAAGAAAATATTTTGGGAACCCCTGGTTTAAGGTACAAGCTTATGGTTTGTAACCTCAAGCCTTTCTGTACATTGTAAAGTTACCTTCTCAGGGGCCTGGTGGTTAGTGTCCACACTGGGACTAGGAGATCAATGAGGTAAAATCGGGACCCAGTGCCTCCCTGCTAGACATTCAGCTTTAAGAGGTTGGGTTGGGGAATTGAATAGCCAAATTGTTCCAAACCACTGCTGCAGGTCACCACTCCCTACAGGGATAGCTCAAACGTGGAGATGTAATTTCAACAGTGTGTGATATCGACTAATGGGACTTTATCTTTAAACAAAACTCAGTGGGGTGGCCAATCAGACTCAAAGGGTGGCATGTGCTATCCTCGGCCACTCTCTGGACACGCCCCTGCAAAGAGCAGCTGCTAATGTAGATTAAAAACCCAAACAAAACCACAAGCATTTCCAATAAACATAAAAGTTTTTATTCAAGTCCAAACTCCGACGTTCCGTTGTTCACAAAGGCCTTTGTTGCAGCTGTGAAGTGAGAGAATGTGACAGGTGGATGAGGATGAAATGTGGATAGGAGATCAGCCCTGACACTGCTCGTACCTGAAAACAGAGAACAAAGACAAACTCGGTGAAAAATCTCCCGTCCCCCAATCTTTTTATATTTTTTCTTAAACACAAACAGAGGCAGCCCACGCAGCAACAACACACAGACGACGGAGCGCTGCCTGTCAGCGCGTGGCGTGATATTGTGCCACAGTGTCAGAGTGATGTTCAGCCCAACGTGATTGGTGACTGTGAGAAGAACGTGATAAGTGACAGTGCGAGCACACAAACGCACGCATGCAGCTTCACATACAAAAGGTGATGCAAGGGTTTATTCTTACCGCTCCAGTTCTTTATAGACATCACCGTCTCCTCTCGGCTTCAAATCCTGACACAAAGGTGAAAACGGGGAAAGGAGTTTGTTAAAAGATGGCGTGGCAGACTGGATAAGGATAAAGACACGTCCTGGGGCTGAATTTATGCCCCCAGTGAAATGAGATTGATATGTTAATGACACTAATGTGAGGATGACTTTGATGAGAGAAGACATGTTTGCAGCTTCAGGAGGGGAAGAGAATGATAGAAAGTGTTGGTGGGTGCACTCACCATGTAGACTGAACCCTGAGGAAGGGCCTGCTGGGGTGGAAGAGAGTGCAGAAAACAGGTTTAGAGAACCAGAAAGGACATGGAAAGGGAGGGAAAACAGAAATGTAAAAGAGAAATAAAACTAAAAACGTGGATGAGATCAGGAAATGAGAAAGAGGAGAGCTGAGGACCAGGAGGAAGATGTTGGAGAAGGATCGATCCATCAGAGGACATGGTGACTTCATCACCTGTCTGAAATCTTCAGGATTCTCGTAGAGGTTCTCTGCTTCACCCGAGTGGACAGACAGTGACTGCTCAATACCTGCGTGCAGAGAGATAGTTTCACAGCGAAATACTCATCTTCAGAGGTGGAGGAGGAGGGGGCGGGTGGGGGGGCAGATTCATTACAACAGCCCCAGAGGATGTCACGGCCCACATCATTCAGTGGCAGCCGAAAGGGGCCGAAGACGGACGGAACATAGAAAGCTGTCAAAAAATGTATCGCTGGAAGACTCACCGCGATCAGAAATGTGTTTCTGTCTCCATAGCAACACACCGACAGCTGCAGCAACCAGGGGCACTGGGAGTAATAAAGCAAAGAGAGAAGGAGAGGTTTTGGAGAGCAAGGAGGGGGTGGTGGCGCTGACTTGCACTGAAAAGGAACAAAAAAAGTGAATTAGGACAAAAGAACGAATGTTTGTGAGGAGAGTGCAAATGTAAAACTCCTACATCGACGAGCCTCTCCGGTTAAATGACGCCATGGCTGCCCAGGAACTTGTATGGGTTTGATCTCCTCAGGTCAAGAGGGGGCAGCCGTGTGTCTACGTGAACACTTCGAAATGCGTTTGGAGACGCGATGCTGCAGCAATTTTCCCAACGTGTTACATGCGTTTGCATCACACTGCTGTCAGTCAAAGACAATGGGTGCTGTGGACGATAGTGAGGAGATCTAGGCTTTCTCGGGAAGAGCGGGTAGCCCGTAGAAATGCTCAGCAGACATCAATCACACATACCTCCACTCTGGACCCGGCTCATTTAGATGGGAGGAAGCAACGCAGAGGTATGATTGGCACAAACACACAGGAAGTTCCTCTTCCAAAGATAGCTGCGTTTGCAGCTCCTAATTATGTCTATTTTAACTCACACACCCACACACACACACACACACACACACACACACACACACGCACACACACACACGCACACACACGCACACACACACGCACACACACACACACACACACACACACACACACACACACACACACACACACACACACACACACACACACACACACACACACACACACACACACACACACACACACACACACTGAAATCCAGAGTTGCTCTTCAATTAAATTAAATTCAAGTTTATTTAAATAGCGCCAAATCACGACAAGAGTCGTCCCAAGGCACTTCACATAATAAACATTCCAATTCAGGTAAGTTCATTAAGCCAATCAGAAAAAATGTTTCCTATATAAGGAACCCAGCAAATTGCATCAAGTCACTGACTAGTGTCAGTGACTGTACAGCAATCCTCATACTAAGCAAGCATAAAGCGACAGTGGAGAGGAAAACTTCCTTTTAACAGGAAGAAACCTCCAGAGGATCCTGGCTCAGTATAAGCAGCCATCCTCCACGACTCACTGGGGATCGAGAAGACAGAGCACACACACACACACACACACACACACACACGCACACACACACACACACACACACACACACACACACACACACACACACACACACACACACACACACACACACACACACACACACACACACACACACACACACTCTTCTTTTTGCTCTCTTGGCATTTGATTGCAGCATCTAACTGCCTTCAGGCAAACTGCAGCCTCTCAGTCAAGCCCAGTCACTAGAACTAAAACACAACAGGTGTGGCAGGAAGCAGGCGTGATGGTAATCATAAACATTACACAAGAGCACCATTAGCTTGCTGACACACCAGGCAAATTTTGTGGGAAGAGCACACATTTGTGAAGAAACCAGTTTGCACCAGTCGCACTGTCCAGTTGGCTCATCTCCTCTCACCGAAATAAAGAATGTTGGTAAATGGGGATTTTAAAGTTATTTCCTGGTTTGCTTTGCTTTACGCTCCACACCCAGTTCCAAATGATTATGCAACAGATAGCTGACGTATTTCACAGTCAGCACAACTCTCAGTTAATAAAAGTACAATTAAAATTTTATTGAAGACACACATAAGGGAAGTAGATGGGCGTGACTTTGACTCTCCACAGGAAGTGTGGAACACCCTGCTGTTTAATCACAACTCACTCAGATCTGTCACAGACCTTTGGACCTCACAATCAGAGGTAATAAAATAACTTTTGATCAAGTCAAAACAAAGACAACACCGATACCTCGGTGTTCACATCACGCAGGACCTGTCATGGTCCTGTCTCATTGTTGTGGGGGTAGTTATGTTGCTTTTAAGCTTAATATATTACCTTATGACCAATAAGCTGTGATATTCTGTATAAATATGGGATATCAACCTTATTAGTCTTTGAATGTTTAAACAGAAGATTAAGGTAGTCAAGTCGTGTTTCTTTCATCTTCGCCGGCTGGCCAAACTAAAATCTGTCCTGAACAAAAAAGATCTTCAGTCAGTTGTTCATGCCTTTGTAACGTCACGTCTGGACTACGCCAACTCTCTCTTATATGGTATTCCCTCCTCTTCAGTGGTATGCCTCCAATTGGTTCAGAATGCTGCCGCAAGGTTTCTTACGGGCATAGACCGACGGCAGCACATCACCCCTGTTTTGGCAAATTTACACTGGCTTCCAGTTCGGTTTCGTATTAAGTTCAAAATTCTTCTGTTGGTTTACAAATCTATTCATGAAATGGCCCCCTCTTGTGTGGAACATCTTTTGAGTCCCTATGTTCCGGTGCGAACCCTGAGGTCCTCTGACCAGCACCTTCTGCTTGTCCCTCCTGCCCGCTATATCGCCCGTGGCGAACGGGCTTTTTCAGTTTGTGCTCCTAAACTTTGGAACCAACTCCCCCTGACGGTCCAACTTGCCCCCTCCCGTCCCGCTTTTAAAGTACGTTTGAAGACTTATTTTTATTCCCTGGCCTTCCCGGCTGAGACTGTTTAACCCTTGTGCTTTCCTGTTTTTTATTTTAGTTTTTATTTGTTTTATCTATTTTATGTTACTGTATCTAGTTTGGTGATGGATTGTCATGTACAGCAGTTTGGTTGGTGTTGTCGCCGTTTAAATGTGCTTTATAAATAAAGGTTGATGATGATGATGATGAAAATTCTAGGATTCGTCGCTTTTTCAGTGATCAAACACACTTCGTATCAATGCAGGATATTTGGATCACACAAATGAACTTTTTATTAAAACGCGGACAATGAAGTTCCAGGACTTGGTTAAATGCAAAACAGCACAAATAATGTATGAAGTAAGAAATAAATTAATGCCTGATAAAATACAGAAACTGTTCACAGAGAGAGAAGGAGGATATAACCTGAGAGGGACACTAAACTTAAAGATCCATAAGTTTAGAACAACATTAAAACAGATGTGTATCACAATAATAGGGGTTAAATTATGGAACAATTTAGAAGAAGAAATCAAAGTAAGTACAAATATAAATGTGTTTAAAATGAATTATAAAAATCATATTCTGAACAAGTATATAGTGGAAAATCGATGATTTATGTGGGTGTCCTTTATTCTAAGGAAAAGTAAATTGTATCAATTGTAAAAAGATGTGTTATTTTTTCTTTTTTTGTTTTTTTTCCATATGGTTTGGTGTTTTTTTTGGGTGACTTGTACCATTTTGTTTGTTTTAATGTAGGTTTTGTGTTAGATTTAGTAAACAAATAAAACTTACTTGTATAAAGGGGTAGGGACATAGAAGTTCCCACTTCAGCCTACTCCTTTTCAAACAGAGAATGATGATATGTATTTTTTCTGTTTGTGGTATTAAAAAAAAATTATGTATGTTTTCTTTGTTTGAAATAAACTAAACTAAATACTAATTCAGACAGTCAGGTTTATTAAAAGTAAGACATTTCTTTTCTAAACAATTAAAAACATGACAACTAGGAAACACTTTATGAGAATGAATCGAAGTGGATGGAATGTGGTGTGATGATTGAATGGTGTGTGTTTATCAGAACCTTGTATCTAGAAGAAACTGAGTTCTGGGTGTGAAATAATTTGGTTTGCATTAAACTAACAAAGTTGATTTTCATCAAAACCACATCAGACGCAATCATGCTGTGTCTACCTCACCCTTTTCAATTCAATTCAAAAATACTTTATTAATCCCAGAGGGAAATTGATTGCTGTAGTAGTGTCACAACGTGCCGGTGAGTGAGACGGAGGTGAGGATCCAAGTGCAGGGGAAGAAACAGGCAGGGAGGCAGACAGGAACATTTAAAGCACTGATTTAATGGAGGACACGCAGGACAATGAAACAATGAGCCAACCAGACAAAATGGACTAACAGGGTTTAAATACAGGAGGAGCTGGGACCTTGGGTGATTGGGAGACGAGAGGCAGGTGGGAGCAATTAACATGGACACAGGACTGAACAGAATGGGGAGACAGGACAGGGTGTGACAAGTAGCTCAGAATAATAATAATAATCAAGTCAGCAAAGAGTTGTTGTATATTACAATGGCTGTTGGCAGGAAGGATCTCCAGTAGCGGTCAGTGTTGCAGCCAAACTGAAGAAGCCTCTGACTGAAGACACTCTTCCGTTGTCGGACAGTCTTATGAAGAGAATGCTCAGGGTTGTCCATCATTTTCTTGATTCTCTGGAGAATCCTTCTTTGCATTATCTCCTCCAGCGGTTCCGAAACTGCCGAAACTCTGGCTGAGTCCTTGAAAGGGCTTGGAGTTCCTCCATCTTGTTGGCCAGTGATCTCACATTGCCCATTATGATCGATGGAAGAGATGGTTTGAATTTCCTCTTTCTCTGTCTCCGTTTTGCTCCCGCTCTGCATCCACGCTTGTTGCGTTTTAGCTCATTTGGGATTTGTGGCTTCAGTTGAGGTATTATTTCAGCCTTTCCAATGTTAATCAGCTGCTTCCGATTGTAAACCAGCTTGTTGCCGTGGTTACGCATCATAACAAATGCGAAAAAAGTGAAAAAGCTAAAAAATAGCAGTAAAAATCCTCCAAGCTTCACAGCACCAGAAACAGAAAAGTAAAGAGTCCAAAAAATACAGTTTTTCTTTAGAAACTAGAAGAAAAAATGTCCAAGAAAAGGCTAAACTTACATATAGTCAACAGAGCTACTCCAACATGCAGCCGCCCAGAGCAGCGCAGTTCCGGAAAAAAGAGACCCCTTTGGAGACCCTCTTCGCGGATCCGGAGGTCAGGAAGGTCGGGTGACCTCTGGGCACCGAGTTTCAGTAGATTATTCGCAGCACCGACTGCTCCAGTCCAGAGATGTTTCCAGGGCCAGGCACAACAGGTTGGAACTAGTTTGCGTCTAGAAGGACTCTTAGGGAGTCAGAACTGTATCAGCTTTGTTCTGCAGGAACTGTTTGCTGTGTCAGCTTCAGCGTGTAGCAGGTTTTTGACAGCTTGTCAAAAGATGCTCTGGGTTGAAGAGGATTTTGCTCAGGATGGCTGGTCCGTAGCTTTCTCTAGTACTGACTCACGGCGAAGCGAGCTCTGTTTTAATGATCGCCATATTTTGATTACCTGGCCAATCGGGACGTGCCATGTTAATAACAATCAGTCCTCAGAACATCACGCCTTCTTTCAGATAGAAGGTTCTCTGATTTGTGGGTAAGAAAATATCTATGTGCAGAAAGTACTTTAACTTTATCTTATGAACATTGCGTATGAGTGTAGATGATGATTCACTTGTTAAACCAAACATTACTGATCGTAACATCGAAACGTTTCATTGTAATATTAAAATTCATTTCAACATAATTGAATTAGGCACAGATTATTCAAACATTAATGTTATTATTCACGTGACATTTGTTCATTCACCCATATGTTTAATGATTATTTAACTTAAGAGTTGTCAAAGTTCTTCTTTCATGAGAGTGAGCAGTCCTGCGGTCTTATCAAAAGAAGGCTTTGTTTGGGAACATAGACTGACATCTTGTTCCCCCTGAAATGTCAACAAGGGCTGCAGAATCTTCTGGGCTTTAGAAGGCAGGATAGAAACTCCACTCAGATAGTGGAATTAGGTCTGTAGATGACCGGTGACATGTAGGTATATGTAGGTGAAAATTGATCATTGCTGGACGTTACAACATCAACACTGTGGTGAAAAAGGCCCGACAGCGGCTCTACCATCTCAGACGCTTGAGAGACTTCAGACTGCCCTCCAGGGTGCTCAGGAATTTCTACTCCTGCACCATAGAGAGCATCCTGACGGGAAACATCACGACGTGGTTTGGAAACAGCACCATGCAGGACAGACGAGCTCTACAGAGGGTGGTGCGATCAGATGATTATGTATATTTGCACAACCACTGCCACTTTCAAATTATATATATATATATATATATATATATATATATATATATATATATATATATATTATGTTTATTTATTTGGCAGACGCTTTTATCCAAAGCGACTTACAATTTATAACCTATAGGGCATGTTGTGATCTGTGGGGGAAACCGGCGAACCCGGAGGAAACCCACGCATGCATGGGGAGAACACGCAACTCCACGCAGAAAGGCTGCAGCCGAGTTTCGAACCTGCAACCGTCGTGCTGCGAGGCAACAGTGCTAACAACTGCGCCACCATGCAGCCATGCATTTTTTCTTCTATATTTCCATATTTTGTAGTATTTTTCATCATGCCCTTATTTTTACAACTTATTTTACTAGTTACATTTATTTTCTTTAGTATTTCATTTTATTCTTATGTATAAGTTTTTTAATGTATTTATTTTTAAGGTCACTGGCGGTCGTATAAGCATTTCGCCGCATTTCGTACTGTGTATGGCTATGTATGTGACAAATACAATTTAAATTTGAACTTGAAGTCATTTTCATGTGATTACAGAGTCCACTCTCACGCAAACTTTTCACAATGAATTATTTTTTTTAGAAACACCGAATGACCCCCAAGTCCCACCTTAACAACCTTGGTGTCACAGCTTCTAGCCAGCTGCTAAATTATCAGTCATTATGTGCTGCCTCGGGTGTAATTGATTGGCGAGTGTGTGTAGAGGTTGCTAATGGAATATTGTGGTGAGAGCTGACCCCAGGTCTGCCCTGCGCTCTTCTAGGCCAGCTTTAATGCATGCATTATGTTAATTGAGCTTAGCAGAGTGAGGCATACAGTAAATACCCGCAGTTTCTTCCATATCACAGTTTTCCCTCCTTCCTTGTCTGCAATTTCCCCCCCAACTCTTATTCCATCTCAAATGAGGTAGGGGGTGATTTATATCACGGTAATTGTGGAGTAGATGGATAGGAAGGAGCCCAAAGAACTGCTTGAATGCTTCTCAGAGGATGGGAAAACTGAGGATTGCACATGATTGCAGAAAATCCCTGACATTTGAAGTATTTTGTGTGCTGCTGAGCGCAATGATTGTTTCAATTTTTGCATTCTTTGTCCTGTGGCACCAGTAAAAGAAATCCCATCATCTATGTTATTTTAACTTCTAAAACTCTACTTTTACATTTTCATCAGATATCTAAAAACAAGGAAAAAGATTTGTGCTCGCTGCTGTTCGGCTTTCAGAGAAAATGTGCAGAAAAAACAATTTATGAACCAGCAAATGTCACTGCTTGTTGTGACATTATTTATTATCAGCCGCAAACTTTTTGTGCCATCTTGCACATTTAGAGCGGTTGTGCAGCCAGACGCTTTCTAACATATGTAAATCATTCACATTAGTTGAGCTCATGCAACACTTTTCACTCACCGCACACATGATACACATTGATTCGACTCAATTCTGCGTCTGCAAGGTGAAATCATCTTGTTCCTTTTCTCCTCTCAGTTTTTTTTACCACATTACTGCTCTTTTTCTCCCTCTGTAGATTACTTTTGAAGCCTCATTACTGTAATCAGCTCTGTTCTTCAACCACCATGATGTATTTGGAACTTGGAAGTGACCTCTCTGCTAAGGGATCCATTTACCCTCATATCCTCCTGTGCTACCCCACAGCCACCAATACAGTAAGCTTGAATAATTTAGCTTTTGTGAGCAGAGATGTCCTAAGGTCCCGTCTTATTATATTCAAATATTAGCTGGGTGAACTGGACGAATAGAGGGAAGAAGAGCCTTCCCTATATATATATATATATATATATATATATATATATATATATATATATATATATATATATATATATGCATATATATATATATATATATATATGCATATATATATATATATATATATATATATATATATATATATATATATATATATATATATATGCATGCATATGTATGTGTGTATATGTATGTTAATCTACGTAGATTAATTAATTCCAAAGCTTCAAATTAAGTAAATTTATAACAAAAAAAATAAAATTATATATATATATATATATATATATATATATATATATATATATATATATATATATATATGTATATGTATATATATAGATGTATATATATCTATATCTACATATACACACACACACACACACACACATACATTTATATATATATATATATATATATATATATATGTATGTATATATATAGATGTATATATATCTATATCTACACACACACACACACACACACACACACACACACACATATATATATATATATAAATTTTTTTTATTAATCTACTTAATTTGAGGCTTTGGAATTAATTAATCTTGATTAATCGCACTTTAATTGTTCAAGAAAATTTGCCCGCAGCAATCTTTTTCATAAAAATAATAAGGAAGAGTATCAAACAATACACATGGACAATCTTATTGTAAATTTAAGCTCCTTTTCTCTTCGTCTTCTAAAAAATATACACATACCATATATACAGTATATATCTATATCTATATCTATATAGATATAGATATAGAGATATATAGATATTGATATAGATACAAGTGTGTGTATCTATAGATGTGGGTGTGTGTGTGTGCGTGTGAAGAAGGGGGACTAGTCTGCATAAGTCTGCATATATTAGGACAATGCCAGATATTTTTGTACAGGATTGAATAAACATGGACTTAGTTCGGCACTATGTGATGCAGGAATGTTGACCTTTGACTCCTCTGAGCTACATGAAGAAAATTTAACATGTGGTATCTGTCAGGGGCATTTTCTTCTTTAAAACAGAGGATTTCTGGCGGATGAAGTGACCTGTGGTTGGCTCTCACACACCACAGAACGCTTCACGAAGCACACATCTGAGAATTATCCACACTCATGGTTCATTATCCCTACCGAGTAGACAAGAAGCCTGCTAGGACTCATGCTGCTAACATATTCGACAAAAGGAGAATATCTGAAACAAAAGAAATCTCACCTTTAGAGGGCACTGTGATTACGGTGTCTGCTCTGATGATCTGGCCATTTTTTAGCTGCAGGACGCAGGTGTACCTCCCTACCACGTCTGAGGTGATGGGTAAAGGCAGAGTGGTGCTGATGCTGCCGGGGCCTCTGGAGCTCGACACCAGCTGGCGACTCTCATTGCTGTGCTCCCACACAGCACGGTAAACCTGGTGCGGCTCTGAGAACCGACACAACAACTCCAGCTTTGAGGAATAATTGGAAGTTTTAACTGCAGGAGCGATCGGAGGGGAAATAGAAAAAGGATGAGTTAGTGTGGAAAAGGAGTCAGGAGGGGAGTGGAAGGAGTGAGACAGCAAGAAAGTGAGTTAAAGGGTAGCGTGTGAATTTAGAAAAGGGCAAGGACAGAGTAATGAGGGAAAGGGGATGTGATATGAAAAAAAAATACAAAGAACAATTCAGAGAAGGGTCAAAACAATATGTATTCATTAAAGTGATTTACTGCTAATGCTTTGGTTGACTGTGACTGATGCTCGGCGTCTCATCAAACTGTAATAAGAATCCATCTGGGTGTAATCAAGCTCCGCAGATCCCCACCTCACACGCACGCATAAAAACACACTTCAGCCTTGATTAGTGTGATCAGCACGGGCCACCTACAGCCTCGGCGGGAGGGCAGCAGGTACAATCACACATAATGATACTTCTAATGAGGTGGGGTAAAAATATATGCGTCACATGATGGGTGAGTGGGCGGAGGTGTGTGAGCGGTGTGTAGCGGATGCAGATCTGTGGAGCCGGGTGGCAGTGACGGATCGGCCGGTCACGTCTGGGCAGCTGTGATGGATGCCAGCGGGGCTGTGATTAGTAAAGCCTTCCAAGGCCGGAATGACAGCTTGCTGTATGGGGTGTAGTGTGTGTGTGTGTGTGTGTGTGTGTGTGTGTTTAAATGCACACTTCTCCAAAAATGAGTGAAAACTGCCCAAAGGAACACTCATAAAAACCAACAGGTGTTCAGCTCCATTTTTCTTTGTCTTTGAATTTCTAAACAAAGTAATGTTCTCTTTCAGGAGCCTTCCAGTCGCTGGATTCATTTAATAATGTGACATTTTCCCCCTTGGCTCCAGGAAATGCTCTCCTTATTTACTTTCTTCAGTCAGAGTGGGCGAGTAAGGCTCCAAAGCCAGTAAGAATTTAATGTCTCGCTCAAGGACAGTTCAGGAGGGTAAATGATTGCTGAAATACCCCAAGAGACAGGTGCTGTGGTTGGAGGGGGTCTCTTCAAACATAATTACCTCAGTGGTTGACTTTTAACTACCATGAAGATGCTTCAACCCAACAGAATAGTTTTTAGAAACATGTCCTGCTGCAGAAAGTAAATAAGAGGATAGACACTCCACCTTTGCTCGCTGTGTTTTTTCGGCAAGGACTTCTTGTTTTATCACCTAAAGCAAAAGTCTGCAATATAAATGTCTAAATATTAGTGGTTAAAATTGGATTTTCTGGACTTTTGTAATTTTTGGCCATTTTTCAGTGTGCATCGACTTGTAGAAGTCTCAGTGTGAGGATGAGACCGAGGTAAGACAGTCAGAGTTTCTCCCCACAGGTTTATTCGCGGCAGGTTTCAACAGCTTCGTGTTTTTCTTTGTTACCTTTGTTAACATTACACCTGCTGACAGAGCTTCCTCACGCAGCTTATCGGTCACACTTTGAGGAAACCAGATGAGGAAAAAAAGCCTAAAATCAACAGTTTCATTTTTTCCACTGAACACTGTACAATAATCTTGTGTAAAATGAAGCTCTTTTGTATTTTTGTTGAATTATAGAGATTCTGTTCTGGGAACACGTCTGAGCTCTTGTTTCATCCCGAATGAGACAATTTTATCCTCTTATTCTTGCCTCTGACAAACACTTTTATATTTTATTTTTAAAGGAGACATTTCCTGACTTTTTCTCAGAAAGGGATATTCCACCCCATAGTAAAACTTTGCCTGTTGCCACATGCCCTATAGTTAGACAAGTGGGAAAGAAACATTTTGTAACCAGCCCAGACAATTTCCTGATCCCGCAGTACTCCTTTAGCTTTAGCTTAGCATAAAACAATGTGAGTGAATGGTAACAACTAGCCTTGAGTGTGAAAAGGTCATTAAATTTAATTTTTCGCACTTAAGTCTAGTTGACTCACATAGTTTGAAGCTAAGCTAAAGCTAAAGGAGTACTGCCAGATCAGGAGAATGACTGGTTAAAAATGGTTTATTTCCCATTGCAATGACAATTTTTTTTACTTTGGAGGAGAATATCCTTTTAAGTTATATTAGTTCTCGACACAAAACAGCTTTATGAAGTTCTTTGCACCAAATCCCTCTAACATAAAGCAATATCAGCTGTTTTATTCTGGACGTTTTCAGTACCTTCCAGAATGAGCCGTTTAGGGCTTTGTCATTTTAAGAAAACAAGCTGGAGCTGGCCACGCCCACCCCTGCCTCGCTCAGGTTGCTATAAGCTGAGAAGCTCCGATATCTGAGAGGGGCTTTGAGTAAACCTGCTGTTCCTTCAGCAGCTGCTCTCTCTTACACGAGAGGCAGGTTTTATGCTAACTTCCCCATTTGTGACATCACAAACAGTGACTTCTTAAAACAGCAGATTTTAGGAGCATAATTCAGAAAAGCAAACACTGACAGACAACAGATGGATAGGTTGTTTCACATTTGGAGTGCTTATAGAGGCAGTAGAGACCGACATGGCAACACAAAAGGATGCAAAATGTGAGTTTTGCATAATATATCCCCTTTAATGTAAATGCTGCTCTTCACGGTTAGTTCAACCAACATGAAAGCGCACAGGAAAATATCAGCTGTGCTGCTCATCATTATAAAGCCTACTCACATACATGCCTCACCTATGCTAAGTGCACGTTGCACATAAGCTGCAGTGCATATTGTGCAAATGCCGGCGTTGAAAAATCAGAGGGAGGTGGGGAAAAAAGACTCTTTTTAAAGCCTTTTAGTTTACAGTAGAGGACTCTAAACCATCTGCCGGGTGGCAGAAACTCCTGTTATTTGTGGAGAGTGTGTGATGGATCAGCCTCTATTCTCTGAGCTTGCATAAAAGCACACAGCTCATAAATTACAGAAGAGGCCAGGATCCAGTTTTCTTCACTACCTTTCGTGGTGGTAGAGCAGCCGGGTTTCCCAACAAGGCAACCTCACGTTTCTAATCAAACTTCCAGATAACTGAAGTCTGCGCTCACGACGGGAACACAGACTGCCAATGCTGATGGGGAAAGTATTTCTACGACATATGTGAGTCACGAATCAGTCTCGACTAGGATATGAAATATAAAAAAACTGTAAAACATCAGAAGTGAAGCAACTATTCCCTCATGGTTTTACCTTTCAGCACGCTGAGAGTCGTATTCTGGAGGAAGATGTTATCATTGAGGAAAACCTGGCAGATGTAAATACCGCCATCACTGAGGTCAAGGCTCATCTGGAAGGAGAAGCTCCCGGCCTTTGCGTTGTAAGGCAAGCCAGCCAGCCGGATTCCCGCCTTTTTCCGTTGCGCCGACCCCCTCCAGCGGTCATATTTGTAGACTAGCTTCATTTTCTTATAATCTGGGTATTTGCCTCTGTTGAAATTTGAAGGAAGCCAGGATAACTTGACACAGTCTCCCTGGACGCTGGGGCAGGTCAGGAGGAAGGCTTTCTGGGCCTCGGTACCGGTGTGGATCATGTGATCTGCTGGTTCGAAAGCACAAAAAAAAAAAAAAAAAAAAAACGCTGATTCATCAGTAAAAAATGATGAAGAAAGGGGAGTAAACAGAAGACTGAATAATGAAGTGAAGACTTGAAACATTTCCTACAACAATAAGGAGGATTCACTTTTTTAAAGCCGAGCGTGACCTCTGACCTTGAGCTCTTCCTGATTAGCCAGCTGCTGACAAAAGACTTTCAGACCGCCCGAGTTCGAGTTACTTACGTTGTTCTGAGCTGGTGAATGGGGCCACTTTGTCAGCTGAAGCACAAGAAAGGAACGGAGAGGAACAAACGAGGAATTAAACATAAAGGTATCGGCTGAAATATTCACAGGAGGACAAACTGAGCTTCTTCACACATCTATAGTTTGCTTTTAAATCTCGAAACCAGTTTATAAAAATAAATACTTTAAAGAAATGTAGCTACAAGACTCTTGAATAATGAATGCTTCTGCTGGAGTTTGTGGCTTTGATGCCCACTCACATCGTCTACAGAAACAACAGCCTTTGTGTTGTGTGTCTGAGAGCCTCCGTGTGCTTTCTGCTTTCAGGCAGGCTCACCGTCAACAGTCAGGTTCACGGTTGCAGCCAGAACGCCGGTGCTGTTGCCCTGCGGGTAAACGGTGCAGGTGTAAGTCCCGCCGTCACTTTTCTGGACCAGAGGCAGTTTGGTCACTGTGCCCGTGTTCGGCTTCCGCTCAGTCTTCATGAGAAGCCCGCCAGGTGCTGTCCAGGTGATTTTGGTGACAGCGATGTCAGGAGTAACACGACCAATCAGCCGCAGGATGCTGTTCTGAGGGACGGGCGGAGCGGGGTACAAGCTGACTGGAAATAAAGAACACAGGAAGTGTGAACTCAGAGCTAATTTAAAGGTGTTGAACACTCATTTTAATCACTACATTTGCAGTGATCTCTAGTAGAAATGAAGGCTTTTTACGTTGTACTCTGGGGAAGAAAAACACCGGTGCATCATTTTCAGGAACTAGAAGTGTGCTAAGTCACAGCTGAGCTTCAGACGACAGGCTTTGGAGTCTTATTTCCTGATAATTGGACATCTAGCCTCTGATTGGCTAACAGAAACATGACTCTACCAGTGACTTGCAACGTGGATGTTTTATCTCCACAAATAACACAAACCTGGAGGAGTTTCTGCTGTGTGGTGGAGTTGCTAATGCTAAAGGTTAGCTTCTACTAGCCGAGACGTTCTCTGCTGTTTCCTGGACGCTAAACCAACAACAGCCTTCCCCGTCGTGAGTCGAGATGGGTGAGTCCACGAATGTTAAGTGACAGTGTGACGTAGATCTGTCAGGATTCTTTAATCCCAGATTTTCATTGTCTATTTTCCATCAGAAGCTAATGCAGAAGATAGGTGTAGGAGACTATTTTCATGTTCAGCCTGCATGAAAAACTCAGAGTGACTGATTATTATCAGAAATTATAATTCAACTTAAGTTTTTTTCCAGTGTTCCACACCTTTAACAAATCATATGTAAATAAATTCAGCTGTTCTGACTTTAGCCAGATTAAATTATTAATCTGCCAGAGTCAGAAACATCCAACAAAAGTAGAAATGTAATCAATATTTTACTTTGAAGGGTTGAGTTAGGGTTAGGGTTAAATATTAATTCAAACGTACCCTAGAACATTTTTACTTCTCACCACTACAATCAGCATTCAAGACGTGTGCTTGTGGCAGGAGTGAGTTCTCAAAACCCCTCAATTAATGTTCAAATCAAACAAATGAGTGAACTTTTGGTAATATTTTCTAAAACGGATGCAAAGTTTGTTCAAGTTTAAACAAAAACACTTTAAAGTTTGTAAGTAAAAGCCCATGAGCACCACTGAAAATTGCGTTTTAGCTGACTGTGTTGAGAATTTACATGTGGAGTTTTGTGAAAACGCGATGCATCTTCTACCTTTATGAAAGACAGGATTTAAGGTGGAATGTGTGCCTGGGGTGTTGTGCTGTAGAGTTTTAAAGCAACAAGAAAGCAGAAACGCATAAATATTAAAGAGCTTTGCTGAGTAAACGCAGTAAATCCCCCTTTATCTTAATTGTAGACGCATCTGGATGTAAATTGTTGATTGATCTGTGCAATAATTAATTATGAAGAACTGTCACAGTAACTAAATGAGTCTGAGGCCTTTTTAGTTTGTAGATGGCTTTGTGTGTGTGTGTGTTGTACTTTCTAAAGTCAAAAAAGGCTATTTTTTTCGTTCAAACTTTTTCTACTTGAGCAAAATACAATTAAAGCAAGCAGAAGAAACAAACTGAGCTTGAGGCAGATTATTTTTTGCAGGCTCTAAACTAGCTAAACAACCAGCTATTAGATACTTCGTACTACGGAAGAGGATTAGGGCCACTGAAAAGAAAATAATTCTGGCTTTTTTCTCAGGACTATTAAAGTCAAATTTCTGAGTAAAAAGTCAGAATTCTTTTTCTTTTCTTCCTTTTCAGTGGCTCTAATCCTCTTCCATATCGCACGATTTTAGAATAAAATAGAAACATGCTCAGTAAAAAGAAACTAAAGCAGAAATAAGTCCTAAGATAATCATAAATTTAAAAGAAAGTGTGTTTTTCTAGTTTTCTCTTTGCTCAGTATCAAATAAAACAAAGATTTTAAAACACTGCGAGCAGTGGTGCCCCTAGAAATGTTTCACATGGGGGTTCAGTGAAAGTTGTGGGGTGGCACACCAAATTGGTCCTGTGGTAACTCTGCGAGAATTTAACCTGTCTATGTTCACTGAGAGCTCCTTCATTAGTTTTTAATAAAAACAAAATTCATGAGACACATTTACTTCAGATTTCAGAAATATGGCAAATATTAAAACTGTTATTTACCTTATTATTCCAAATTTTATTGTCTTTTTGTTTTGAAGTGCTGCTCTTAAGTGACACATATAGTTTTATATTATGGTTTACTAAATAAATAAATAATTTGAAACTGTATTTAAATAAATGTATTTATTGGCTTGAATGACTCTCGAGCGCGGCTGTGTCTGAAGCTCACCACTCCCCCAGGGGATGGGTCAAATGAGGAGGACATATTTCACACACCAGTGTGACAAATATTGGCACTTTAACTTAACTAACTTTTATGTGTTTATGAAAGAGGTTAAATGTACATTTTTTGTATATGTGATTTATTAAGGAGGGTGGGGTAGCCATGGCCTCCCTGGGCACCCATTGGGGGCGCCACTGACTATAAAATGTTTGTTTTGCTTTATTTTTTATTTTTTAATAAAAAAAATTGAAAATAAAACAAATAAATAAAATTAATGTTATTGGGGTATTTTCTACACTTTTTCTGTAGTTTTTTAAAAAGATAAAATTTCCCTCTGGGATTAATAAAGTTTTTTTTTAAGTGAAATGAACTGAATTGAATTGAATTAAACTACCAAAGCTGCTAAATTATGGAAGAAGTTATTTTACATCAACCAGAAACGTTGAAAATATTTTTTTTAATGGGATTTAGGTGTAAAGTGTTGCTTGTCTACCTGTAAAGACTGCCAAGAGGTAGACGATCTCCTTGACTTTCCTCTTCTGATGCTTCATCAGACACGTGTAGAGACCCCCGTCCTCCTCTTTGGGCGATAAAAGCAGTGAGAAGTCCCTGGTGCTCTGAGAGTGACTGTCAACCAGCTGAATGCTTTCCTTCCAGGCGCCTCCAGAAAACGTTGTCTTTTCATTTACTGAGAGAATTAGCTTCCACTCACCCACGTTTCCTGGTTTCACCATCCAGTTGATGGACATGTCACCCGTCAGTTTGTTACCAGCGCAGCCCAAAGTGGTGGGATTGTTCTCTCTCACCACAACAACATCGTATTCATCTAAAGTTGAGAGGAAGAGGAGCGCGTCAGCGAACTTAATGAATCAAACTTTTGTAACTTTGTCTTGGAAAAATACAAGAACTACTTTAGTTTGTTTAGAAACTTTATCAGGGTTGTGATGAAAGCCTCTAAGACATGCAGAGAGAGTGACCAAGCCTCAATATTTGACGATTTGGGACGCCCCAGCGCGTCAGAAGACGACGATCAGGGACAAACAGCTGACGCAGCGTCTCAGAGCGTCGGTATCCGACGCCGGTGGTGAGACGGACGTTAGAACTACTTGTGAACTACCGTATTTTCACGACCATAGGCCGCACCGTGTTACAGGGCGCAGCTTCAGTTATGGGTGTCTTTTTGGTATTTAACACATACAAAAGGCGCACCGGGTTATAGGGCGCGGGCACGGTAAAACGTACCGGTAAAACATCTGTGCGGGCTCGGGACTCGGAGCATATCAGTGCAAACCAGACATTGTGAAAATTCTAAACAGCCAAAAGCATGCTTCACTTTACTGGTCTAGTCCTGGTTCAGACCTGGTTTAGAGCGCACGTGCACTTCCTCATTGCGTGCGCTGACGGCTCGTGCTCTTCTTATGCGCTGATGCGCTGTGTTCAGAATGTGTTTACCGGTAGTTGGTGGATTTAACCACATAAACTTTCCACATGAACAAAATCATATGTGTGTTATCAATAGGCCTAAGAAAATAGTGTGATTTGAATTGTGTACAGGTACGTTGTTGTCAGAACGATGTTCAGCATACCGCGCATACCCGCCCTTTTGAACTATTCGGGGTCTGTCTTCGCTCACGTCCGCACGTTCACGTCACGCCCCTTGTCTTCTACTACGTTCGCGTCTCACAACAACACAATAGGTGCACCGCGCCATAGGGCGCGGCGTACATTTTGGAGAAAATTTAAGACTTTTATGTGCGCCTTATGGTCGTGAAAATACGGTACTTAACCTTCCTCTCACCCCAATCCTAACCTTAAGGTCACAGTTTATGGACCTTAAGGCTAGGATTGGGGTGAGGGGAAGGTTAAATAGTCGAATAATGTCCGTGTGACCGCGCGCATCAAACACGTGACCCAGCGTGTCCCTGACTGCCGTCTACTGACGCGCTGGGGCGTCCCGAATCGTCATATATTGAGGCTTGGTCACACGCGTCATATTTTGACGCCTTGGGTGTGAGAATGTGTTGTTTGATCTTATGCGCATTACTTTGTACGTAAACATTAGATATTTAACACTTTTACGGTTAAAAGACTAACTTTGCTGAAAAACTTGACATTTTTTACAATTAGATTGAGAATCACAACTAAAATAAATATATGAAACTCATTCTACATTAAAAAAGTTGCCATGCAATCTTTCCTATGCTCATTTTTCTTTTACAAGAATGTTTTATCTTACCATATATTTCATATTCTACAGCTGATCGCACAAGAGAAGAGCATAAATCACCAAAAAATAAGTGAAACAGGTCGCCTACAAACCTGACTTGGAACAAGGCAGCCAAACATAAAAAAAACCCAGAATCCACTGGGATGAAGATGATCGGTCTTTATACATGACTCATTTTCATGCATATTCAGTAAAGATGATACACGAGTCTAAAAGTATAAAACAGCATAAAATGTATCCCTGTAGAAACGTACCTGCGATCTCAGCATAAGAGGAAGATGCAGCAAAGAAAGCAGCAAGAAAGAGGATGACGAGTTCAGACTTCATCTTGCATTTAAATGAAATAAGAAGTCTTCTCTCTGCACCGATTTTCTGTGACCTTTCTGCGTTTCACCTCAGAATTCAGAGTATTTCCACGGATCTTGTTGGGGTCCCTGACTGACATCAGGGCTCGTCTTATAGCTCAACAGGATGTGAGGCGTCTAATGCTGGCATATCAGCAGGAAAACACTGTCATCATTCCAGTCGTGTGTGTGTGTGTGTGTGTGTGTGTGTGTGTGTGTGTGTGTGTGTGTGTGTGGGTGTGCGTGAGACCGATAATACACAGTTCCAGTTAAATTTAATCCCAACGACTGGATCTTGGAAAAGAATCAACACGTTATTTATTTTTTTATTTTTTTTATTTATTTTGCACTTTTCAGTTTGATTCGGCGTGTTTCTTAAACTTTACATCCACATAACTTTTGGTGGAGTGTTTGTGGCTTTTTGACCTTCATGCTTTCAGCTGGTCAAATCCAGTTTTTAGCCACCGTTCTGAGCAGACGTTTGTAAAATTTCTCAGTCAGCAGGTCACATATTTTGATTTCAGTTGATTTTCATTCGTCCACCAACAGTGTACAAGGTTACTGCTCCGTAAAAAACAAGCCAACAACTTTTTGAAATCTCACAGGCAGCAACAAAGCCTCGGCAGCTGAAGATCCATCTATCCATCCATTTTCATGCGCTCATCCGGAGTCGGGTCACGGGGGCAGTAGCCTAAGGCGAGAGGCCCAGACTTCCCTCTCCCCAGCCACTTGGGCCAGCTCCTCCGTGGAAATCCCAAGGCGTTCCCTGGCCAGATGAGAGACATAGTCCCTCCACCGTGTCCTGGGTCTACCTTTAGGCCTCCTCCTGGTTCGACGTGCCCGGAAAACCTCACCAGGGAGGCGTCCAGGAGGTATCCTGACCAAATGCCCGAGCCACCTCAAGTGGCTCCTCTCGATGTGGAGGAGCAGCGGGTCTACTCTGAGCCCCTCCCGAATGACCGAGCTTCTCACCCTATCTCTAAGGGAGAGCCCAGTCACTCTTCGGAGAAAACTCATTTCAGCCGCTTGTATCCGTGATCTCGTTCTTTTGGTCACTACCCAAAGCTCATGACCATAGGTGAGGGTAGGAACGTAGATCGACCGGTAAATCGAGAGCTTCGCCTTCTGACTCAGCTCTCTCTTCACTACGACAGACCGGTACAACGCCCGCATCACTGCAGATGCAGCACCAATCCTCCTATCGATCTAACGCTCCAGTTTTCCCTCACTAGTGAACAAGACCCTGAGATACTTAAACTCCTCCACTTGGGGCAGGACCTCGTCCCTGACCCGGAGAAGGCATTCTACCCTTTTCCGAATCAAGACCATGGTCCCAGATTTAGAGGAGCTGATTCTCATCCCAGCTGCTTCACACTCGGATGCAAACCGCTCCAGCGAAAGCTGAAGATCACGTTCTGATGAAGCCAACAGCACCACATCATCTGCAAAAAGCAGAGACCTGATCCTCAGGCCACCAAAACGGATGCCCTCCACACCTTGGCTGCGCCTAGAAATCCTGTCCATACAGGTTATGAACAGAGTCGGTGACAAAGGGCAGCCTTGGCGGAGTCCAGCTCTCACTGGGAACGAGCCCGACTTACTGCCAGCAAAGCTGAAGATACTTCTTTTAAAAATGCCATTTTCCTGCAGTTGGAAGCTTCACGTTCATTCTTTTAAACATACGATACCTTGTTGTAGCTCTTATTGTTGCCAAGTGACTCAGTAGCCTGCTTTAGAGTTTTGCCCGACATCTTGACCAGTGTGGCTGGCTGCAAACTTTAGGTTAGAATTGATTTATTTTGATGATGTTTTGTGAAGTAATTCAGCAACATTTAACAGTCCAAATCTGTTAATGAATTTTTCTTTTGATGATTTTTAAAATAACATCACTTTTAACAAGCATATGCTTTACATCATTGCTGTCATTTAGACCTAATGTCAGGTTTAAAGACCACGGTCTTGAGTCGGAAAAAGGTGCCTTCTGCAGGTCAGGAATGAGGTTCTGCCTCAAGTGGAGGAGTTTAAGTAGTTCGAGTTCTTGCTCATCACGAGTGAGGGAAAGAGGGAGCGCGAGATCGATAGGCGGACTGATGTACCGGTCTGTCGTGGTGAGGAGAGAGCTGAGCTGGAAGGTGAAGTTCTTGATTTACATGTTGATCTACGTTCCTAACCTCACATGTAGTCACGAGCTTTAAGTAGTGACCGAAAGAACGAGAACGCAGATACAAGCGGCCATGAGGAGTTTTCTCCGCAGGGTGTCTGGGCTCTCCCTTACAGATAGGGTGAGAAGCTCTGTCATCCAGGAGGGGCTCGGAGTAGATCTGCTGCTCCTCCACATCGAGAGGAGCCAGTTGAGGTGTCCAACCAGGAGGAGACCAGAAGATCCAGGACATGCTGGAGGGACTATGTGTCTCTCAGCTGGCCATGGAACGCCTTGGGATTTGCCAGGAAGAGCTGGCCCAAATGGCTGGGGAGAGGGAATTCTTGGCCTTTCAGCTTAGGCTGCTGCCCCCGTGACCTGACTCTGGATAAGAGGAAGAAAATGGATGGATGGATATTATGATTATTTTTTTAAGTTATAATAGATCTATGGTTGATATAATGCGTGTTTATTAAGTTCTTTGCGCTAAATCCCTCTCAAAAGAAGCAATTTCAGCAGTACATTTTTTTCAGTACCTTCCAGAATGAGCTGTTTCAGGCCTCTGTCACTTTAAGAAAACAAGCTGGAGCTGGCCACTCCCACCCCTCTTCCACCCAGGGTGCAATAACCGGAGACAACCAACATCAGGGAGGGGCTTGTTGTGGAGCCGCTGCTCTTCCAGCGACAGCTCTCTCTTGCACATGAGAAGTGGGTCTATGCTAATTTCCCCATTTGTGATATCACAAACGGGGACTTTTCAGAACGCCTTGTTTTAGGCACAAACTCCCGAGAACCAAACACAGAAAATGGTTGGATGTTTATTTTTTTCAGATTTGTAGTGTTTCATGATGCTGTAGGGACACACACGGCAACACAAAAGGAGTGTTTTGCATAATATGCACCTCATTCTAGGTGTCGTACTCGCGGGGACCGGGCTTTCTCAGTCCTAGCACCGTCACTCTGGAACCAGTTGCCACCCTCAGTTAGGCTGTCCCCATCTCTGCCAGTCTTTAAGAGTCGCCTAAAAACACACCTCCTCCGCTTGGCGTTTCCTGAACTTGTTTGATTTTGGCCCTCTTTTATGTTGAATTTGTTTCACAGTTTTCATTGGTTCACTCAATCCATTGTTTTACACATTTGTCCTGTACCAGAATGTTGTAATTTGGAATTTGTATTTTGTAATTTGAATTGCTTTTATTTTTGACTTATTCAATATATTTACCTTCTACTGTACCATGTTCAGCGCCTTGGGCTTCCTAACAGAGTTGCAGAAGGCGCTTTATAAATAAAGCTTTGATTGACTGATTGAATATGCTGAACCTGCAACCTTTCTGATCCCTGGGCAACCCGCCCAACCTCCTGAGCTGCTCTACTGCTGCCATGGACGCTGCTGCAGAACTTGTGAAAAAGACTTCACCTCATATTAATTCCATTTTCACTTCAGTCCAAGTTTTATAGTTGAAACATCTAAAACGCGCACCTGTTACCCCTGGTTACAGAAACATGAAAAACAGCACAAATACAGTGAATTTCATGATCACAGCGTTGTTAAATAGCTTGCGTTTGACATTAATCATAAGTAGATAGTCTTTTTCTCACTAAGAGACCATCCTGAAAACCGGCGGTTAATAAAGATGCAGATTATCTTTAAACACCATCGTTTTCCCTTTGGTGATTCCTAGATTACTCTTCATCAGCTGGAAGTTCTTCTCGGCCGTAATGTAAGCAAAGTCTATTAAATAATGCATCCAGTGTACGGGATTTCAGTGAAACACCTAACAAACGAAGAAGTGGAATAATTAGTGCACTGAAGCTGCATGTGGTGGTGCAATTAAATAAGTCATGTGCAGATGGTGATGTACTGGGAGACAGCATGCAGATGGTAACGTGGAACAGTGAAAATCACTGAGATTTTGTCTTTGCACTGAGTCTATTGACCCAGTGAGATTTTTCTTGGATAGGTGCTGATACGTGGCTGCAAAAACAAGACACTCGGTTCAAAATATTCCATTTTCATGACAAAAATGACCTGGATCGGTGTAATCTTTTGACTCGGCGGGTCAAATTTCAGCACAAGATTCTACGTGCAGGACGTATGTCGAACAATCCTCGAGCTTGTGATAAGAGCTCATGGAGCCGAGCACTTTCTGACATCAGTATGATCAAAAATAGCTTCTCACCCTTGAAATAAAAACACAGAGCCGTGTCGTATTACAGTGCGTGTAAAAATGGGAAGATGATAAGAGAAGGAAGGAAGATGAAGAAAAATCTAAGAAATGAAGAGCTTTGGGTTGACGTGAGTACACAGAAACCCCAAGGCTGCATGTCTTTACATCCCATAAACGTCTTTAATTAAGCTAAAGGTATTATCAGCTCCTCTGAGCACGTTACAGACTTTTTCATAATTACCAGTGGGGGTATGGGGGCGTCGAGGAGAGATAGGGAAGGAAAGAAAGTAGATATGTATTGTGGGTGTCTAATAACAGGGAGGGGGAGCATGTGAAAGCAGAGGTGCTGAGGCAAACTGAGGGGATGAGGAGGAGTGTGAGAGGTTGTTTGAGGGGAAGAAAACCCTCATTTATGGACAAATAATCACCATAAGCCTCTGCTCTGTAATGAATCCACCACCAACGAGCTAATATCTGCTAACTATCCGCTTCATTAGGGCCGCCACAGACCCCCTGGAGAGTAGGAGGATGCTGGATGGGATGAACAGCATGGGAGAAGTGAAGGACGAGTGGACAAGGGAAATTGAATGACATGGGGGGGAGGAGGAGAGGGAGGATGGAAGTGTAAATGAAGGAGCGGCTATGGGTTGTGTGATGAGGTGCAGTGTGAGTAAAATGTGCGGAGGCAAGAAAGCAGAAGGTATGAAGATCGATCTGGTATGGGAATGAAAAATACATGAGTGTGAGCAGGAAAAGGATGAATCCTCTGCTCGGTGTCCTCTCATCCTGCCATGGATGGATGTGATTCGGTGTGGTCTCTGCATGGATTCTGCAAATGCATCAGGCTGCATGTTTAAATAAATAAATAATAAATATATAATAAATAAAATAAATCCACTTCTCTCATTGTGTTAGACAGGTGAGCTCAGTAAAAGGAAATATATCCACTCCTCTTTTGCCATGTTGGTGCGGAGCCTTGGCCGACCTCTGATAATGATCGATTTTCAGAATTAAGAAGCAAAGACACGAGGAAATGAGAAAGCAAAGCAGTTTAAACGGTGTGACTTATAGAGATGTAATTAGATCGGCTGTAAAACACTTGGGCATAAGGATTAGACCTGAACTAGATAATTCCTCCTCTGTGCAAGCTTGAACACTGTCGCAGAGCAAAAAGAATCAGAAGTTATTCTGCACAAAATGGTCATGATTAGTCTGCTTGAGTCTAAATAGATGCAGGAGGGAGACGCTGTTTGATTTGATTTTCTTTTGCTGACTGCCACAGAATTTGTATTTTCAGGTTCGTTAATGACTGTTTATTGATTTCAGCATCCGGCTGTCATGGAAATTACAGGAGCAGAGCCGTGTGGAGAGCCGACCAGCAGGGGGCGCACGAAGCATCTGTTTCAGCGTCGTTCAAAGTGAGGAGTCGGTTTTTTCTTTTGATCACGTTTATTTAAACGAACACCATTTCTGTGAGTAACTGTGGCAAAAGTATAATCTCAGGTGACTCCGAGAACTGAAAAATTTATTTTTATTATGAAAAATAAGAATTTTGATGTCATTTGGAATCTCCTGACTGAAAATCGTTCTTCAAAGGGACGTGAGATCTAATGTTTATTGATTTTGGGAGCAAACCTTTCTCTCTTGAGTCACTGAACAGATTGTAAAACCACCACGAGGCCCATCTGAATCATATTTGGCTAAATCCGGATCACTTCACACCTGCTGATCAGTTTAGATCCAGGTGGGGAAAAAAAATTGTGTCAATTTCAACAAGTTGTTCCGTGACTCCCCCCCCTCCTCCTCCTCCTCCTCCTCCCCTCCGCCGTCCCTGTCCCTAATTGGTTTTTGGGACGATGACATCACCCGGTCAGTCCCACGCGCGGACAGTCGCGCGCTCACACTTCAGAGGGACTAGTTGCTGTAGCGGCAGCGCGTCATCATAAGCGCGAGCGGCTGAGGTGGGAACTGTTCACCTGTGCGCAGCCAGGACGAATTCTCCAGGATTTTCCTTCGAATAAACTCCTTCTGCCTTAAAGGCGCACAGAGGAGCGCACTCTCCGCTGGTCTACAAGTTCCTCTTCACCTAAAATTCAGTTTATTTATTTTTTTGCCTTTTACTGTGTGAGACTTTTGTTTTTAACGACACTGAGATTACCTCCATTTGATTTTTTTTTAAATTCCGGAGAGACTTTGTGGATCGTAATGGCGAGAAATGACGCTCTGAATTGGCCCGACGGCGCAAAAATGATCGGAGTTCTTGTTGCTGCGTCGATACTTCTCCAACACGGTAAGAAAACTATCCTGCTCCCGTTTCCCAACCCTGGAATACGGTTTAGTCAGTTTCCGGTTGAAGAAAGGTCAGGCGAAACCCGACAGGTCATTTACAAGCTCGCGCTCTTCCGGTGATTTTTCAGCCTTGTTAATTAATTTTTCACTATTTTTAATTGGTTGAGGTGACGTCACTGATGATTAATTTGATTGCTCCGGAGTTGGCGGTAAAACCCGTGGGACCTGAGTTTCGGTGGTGACTCAACGCCATTTGCAGCTTCCTCGTTAAGGTGTGGCTCTGTCGCACAGGTGTATGTCGGCTCAGCTGAGACTCCCAGCTCGTTCCTCTCTCAGTTAATCCACCCCTCATCATCTATTAGTTACAGCCCAGTTAATAAAAATGAACTAAATGAAGTCAGAGGGAGTGACAACTGAAACGTCATCACGGTTAATGTGCTGCTGACAAACGCTCCAGGCCCAGGTGCTGTTTGTTTTTATTAACTCCCACCAGCCAGATCTTTTTGTGGCGCTACATTAGTAACTATTACTTTAAAGTGACAGGACACTAAATTATTCAGGTGTTTTCCACTCCCCCTCTTTAACTCAGGTGGCATACAGGTACATCAGCAAGAGCGCCGCCCCCTTCCTTCATTTAAAGGAAACAGATTTTTCTGGTATGGTTTGGATTATGAGTCAGAAGGTTGTGATGCTACTGTGAAAACGTCATCGCCATGTTTCTGTGTCAAAGCGTTGGCTGTAAATCACAGCTGTGTTACACAATGTGTGTGGGCTAAATCATACGTGATCTTTAGGAAGTAAAAGCATGAGTATTATTAATCAAGCATGTCCAAAGTGTGGCTCAGGGGCCATTTGCAGCCCACAGAATGATCTTCTATGGCCCTTCACCAATTTCTGTTGAGTTTTGTTTCTCCACCAGGTTGTATATGTAGACCAGGCCCCCACAATGCGGTTCAAAAATTGAAGCAATCCCGGAAGTACCAAAAATTGCAGTTCCACCCTCATCCACTGGGGGCTGGTGTCAGAAGTGAGCAAATCCTCATTGACTCCCCTGTTAAAACTACCAATTTCACAGCAGAAATAAACATGTTTACAGCCTGGTACCAAAACATGTTTTTGGTTTAAATGATCTAGTTTACACTCATGACAACTCTGAGGGGGGTGAATTTTTTCTCACTCTTCTGTTTAAGTGTATTAAAAGCCTAAAATTCTGTATAATTAATGAGCATCAGACCCACGTGACCACAGAGCTAGCTCCGGGGAAAGGCCTCAGTAGAGCCTCGGTCTGGCTTGGAAACTGCTCCGGGATTTTGAGTCTCTGTGTTTGTGTATTCTTTTTTGGATATTTTTTGTGCAATTGTTGGACAAAATGACTTGCTGTGGCATTAATTGCACTAATGGAGCGTCCAAGGAGTCTCCACTTCATTTTTTTCGGTAAGTAAAATTATATTTATGTATTTTAGGTCACTGCTGAGCTTAGATTTTAACATGTACTGTTTAACCATGAAATTTAAATGTAATAGGGTAAAACCCAGTGCATTTAACATAATGCTGCACTTTAGAAAATGGGTTGAAATATAACATGTTGGTGGAGCTGGGTTCCGACTATCGGCTTGTGGAGCTCTCGGGAGACCGATGTTTTCCACCCGGTTCTCCCCTCCCCGCAGCTCGGCGCATCTCTGTCTGATCGCGGCTTCTGACTGCTGCGCGGGCTGTCGGCTTGTGGAGCTCTGGGATGGAAACCTTTCCACCCGGTTCTCCTCAGCGGCAGCTCTGCGCATCTCGGATCGCAGCGGCACTTGTCTGCTGTGCGGCTGCCGGCTTGTGGAGCTCTCGGAGACCTCTGTGTTCCACCCGGTTTTACCCAGCGGTCAGCCCGGCGTATCTCTGACTCAGAAGCTCTGGTGTTATGCCCAGTTAACTCCGGTTGTAGCTAGGTTTCTACCTCCGTTAGCTTAGCTCCCACCTCCGTGTTAGCTTTGGGTTAGCTTCAGGTTAGCTTGTAGCTAGTTCGACCGGGTGTCATCAGTTGATTCCAGCCTTAGAGCCCCACCCTCAGCTCCACCTCTCTTCCCTTTTGAGGAATTGTCTGGGCTTGACGGAACCTGTGACACGGTCAAAATGGCGGTGGTGGCCACCTCCAATTTATCTTCAAAAATGTGTTATTGGAGCCTACGGAAACCCATTGTCCAATATTTATGTCGATGATGTAGACTGACATTTATCGATCCGTTTTTGAGGAGTATTAAGAAAAATACCTTTAAAATAATTTAGCAAACATTTATGACTATTTTGGCCCTTACCTTGGAAAGTTTGGATATGCTAGTCTAAAGCCTAGTTTGTGCTTCTGCGTCACACACGCATCGACAGATGTTTTGCTCTCAGACTTCTCCGTCTCCTGGGGAGTGTTGCTAAGCAATTCCCCACCAAGACAGCAGAGTTTCCCATCGTTTCCATCCACCAATAAAATGCTTGCTGCACATCTTTTTACTCCTCCAGTCACAGGTGAATGAAACGGTCATGTTTTTTGGGGCTTTTCCACGAGGTATTGTTCAAGCTGCTCCGTGTCTGGTGCTATATATATTTGGCCTGCTATGTTTTTTAGGTCAGCGTCCTGACCAATCACTAGCTTGCTTTTCCGGTCCTTTTCGACAGATGCATAGAAAAGTGGGCTTGACTTCGTCTGTCCTCGCGAGCCTGCTGAAGAACCCTCGCAAGGACGGATAATGGCGTTGCGTTCCTCCGTACCGACGCAGAATCTTAAACTAGGCTTAAGGCTGGAAATATTCTTGTTGTTTTAATCTTGCGTTGTTGCAGGCTGCATCTTTAACATCCATGCTGCTGCACAGCATGTGGTACTGGAGGGTTCCACCAGGGGGCACGGTAGAGAACTCATTTTAAGATCTTTAATCTCAGTAAGTAAGTCCTTAATGCAGGCTTGCTGTTTTGTCAAAGTTGACAACTCAGAGAACTCAGACCAGATAGTGTCCTTGGTTTGTGGGGTAAAACCAAAACAAACATGGCGTCAGTAGAAGAGCTCAGTAACTGGTTAATTTTAGGATCACAGGAGAAAAAAAGACAGCAGTGATATTGTAGATGGTATGAAAGACCTCTAAACCAGAGAATGAGTCACTATGCTGAGTGTGTCTTGCTCCACCTACTGGTTACTCGTATATTGCAGCGTTCAAACGCGTTGCGTTAACTTCAGAAGATGCGACCAAATGACCCTCAAATCGGTGCCATTTTAAACAAGCGTACGTGTCTGGAAACGGCAAGTATGTTTTCAGCATAAGACCTCTTAAACAATATTTGAGGTGAAAAAAGTACCCGAAATTATAAAATGAAATTAATAATGGATGCATTTAACAAGAGGTTCAGTGCCAGAAGAATGAAATAAATTAAAGGCAGACGTTCGCATTTAGTCTCAGAAATTGAGCCTTAATCATTTGTTTTCATTTAATTTAACAACCGTTTAACATTGTGCACTTATTACAGTACTACTGAGCTGCAGTTTGGTTCTAAATATTAGCAAATCTGGTTTTCACAGACAGAACCTTGTTTAGGTTGTTATAGACCTGTGCAGGATCAAAAACGGTCTGTTTATTGTAAACTTCCAAACTGATAAACACGTTTTCTCCCAAAGGGAAGTCTGAGTTCTTGGAAGCAGCTTCTAAAGTTGCAGGAACTAACAGTTGCTATAATCTTGGACAGAGTAACTTTTGAGTGTTAATATAACACGAGTAGAAAGGGGGAGAGACAGTAACGGTTTTTGACACAACACCTGTCTCACTCAGCCATCTTTGTGTTCAGACCTAACCCAAGGCAAGCGTAAGCCTGGGGGTCCCCTCACACCACCAGGGGCCCCTCAAAAGCGCCAAAATGGCATGAAAAAAAAAGTAGTTTTAACAAAATTATATTTACACATGCTTTGTTTCATATAGGTCATTTGTTTTGCTTGTTTTGGTAGTTTTAGCCCATTTAGCACATTTTACACACATTCCAAATTTTAAGAACAAAACTTAACTCATTTACTGTAAATTGAGTATTTTTATGCTTATGTTGATTTCAAATAAGTGAATTAAAATCCAACTCGCAAAGCATTTCAACATGCAAACCAATCAGACCGTTTGTTGGTTTGCTACCGCTGTACAGTAAAAACCAACAGCTATAATAAAACCAGTATGATATAAGCTAATTACAAAAGACGCTAACGATAGTGGGCGTTTTACACTCATGGTGTAGCCTAGAAACGATGAATCATCTGGTGTTGATTTGTTGGTTTGGGGGCCCCCTAGAGAAAACCTACTTGGGGCCCCACAAAGGCTTGGGCCGGCCCTGGTTGTTTAAAATGTTCTTTCTATATAACATTATTCCTTTTGCTCACGCTTCACGCTTACTGCACTCAGGCACAATTTGTACCTTATTTTGTGCGCTCCTTATAAATTACCCGAACACCTCCGCCCTTTATAGTTCCGCATTTTATGTTCCTCGACATTATAGCCATTAATTGAACTAATTCAGTTAAATTAAATTTGATTCACTTATGTCCACATTGTGAACGTGTTGAAACTAAACCCCCACCCCGAGTATGCAGTATAGATGCATTTGCATACTTGTGTGTGGCATGAAACCAGTTCATCCTTCTTGTTCCTTTGCCTCACAAGGCCAGCTATTTGTTTTCTGGTGTAATTGGGGCAAGAATGTAGGACTCCATCTAACGTCCCTGGCAAAAGCTACAGGGGATGTTTCTCCTTTTTATTCCTCTACCAAGAGGGAACCATAATATGGTTTGTTGTGCTTTTCTTCTCTCTTTTAAACAAAAATCTGGATTCATAAGGACAGTCACATCTTTGAGTTATTCATGCGTCTAAGCTGTTTTGTCCAATTTCATTTAACAGCACATGAAGTGCACTTAGAGGAAGGGAAAAATAAAAAACAAAAGCTTTTACATATTTATGAGTACAGATGAATGCGGGGTTTAGCAGAAACTACTTTTCGTTT